GGAAGGTGATGGAATGTGCTGTTGCAGGCATTTTTGATGCATACATCAAGAGTGGATTATTAGGGCTTGGGGTATTGAAGATTATTTTGTAGTCTCATTAACACATGTTGCAAATTTGTTGAAGGGAGCATTTATGATTGCTGAGAATTTATAAATTGGTCTAGTTTTATATTGTAGAGGTCTAACTAAAATGTTTGCTGGTGATTAGAATACACAGTGTGGGTATGCAAACGATATTCGAGTTTTGAAAGATAAAGGTATCTTAATTTAATCTGCAGAGATCCAGTCTAGAGTGTTTGGTAAATGAGTTGCATGTTGGTAAATGTTTAAATCTTGGAGGCATTCTTGATTTGCTAAGAAATTGTTTTATTAGACCTTCCACTCTCACTCAAACAGGAAAGTATTGAACTTTGGTCAGTCAGTATACATGTTGGGCAATAAGACAGTTATCAGAGGACTCAGGAGGGTTAAAGAATTCAGGGTTTTATTTAGTGATCCAGCATTTTTGGAAAAGGAATTGGAGCTCTTTGAACTTGTAAGCGTTAGTCATAAACTTGGGAAGTTTGTGGTGATAAAGTTTCATCATAATTTGCTTATACTCTGTTGTAGGAAGGGGAAAATTTGTCATTTTCTTTATACCACGGTCGTTTGTAAGTCTTTTTACAAAATTTCGTATTAAACACCGTTTGTATATATGAATATCATGTTGGTCTCTATATTTTATCGTACAGCACCCTTCAACTCTGATTGGTCATGCTTCAGTGAAGTTGTTTGTGATTTACATTTTGGTGATCATGACACATCATCACGGACCATCGACTTTCGACACCGAGTCTACAATGGAACTTTCATATGTAGTTTCACTTTCAGTGGAGCTCAGAAGTTTCAATAATTCACGCAACAGAACCTAAATCATTTCCTGAAGGCTCGAGAACTACAGAACAAACAAGAGAGAAAGAAACAGAGACGCGGGAGATTTATTTGCTTTGATGACGTTCGTGACCAAAGGAATCTGTATCCTGGGGCTAGGGTGTTTACGTTATTTACTTTGATTCTTAGCTGTTCGTGAACAGGGAAGGCCAATGGCACGCAATGAAGATTAACCCCAAGTAACGACATTCCTGTTCAATGGCGGCCAAGGCACATAAAAACAGAGGAACATAGGAGGTGGAAATTGAAGCCAGCAGGATGTGAATACTGCTTCCCGACAATTTATTTTAAGGGTCACACAAACTGCAGCACGATGACTTCTAAATGGTCACACTCAGGTGAACATTTCACGCACAGGAGCACCTTGTGTGGCGCTGAAAACAAGAAAGTATAATCAGAAACTCGTAACCGTGTGATGCGTTTCTGTTTATCCACAAAAGTTGAACAAAATGGGTATTTCATCCACAGAAGTAAACTGTACAGCGCAATAAACATCACCACACCAAAGTCCGTTTTGCGGTCATAATTCTAGATTGATCTGCTTATTGAGCTGCTAAACAATTTCTTGAATGAGGTCAAACAGGGACTCAAAATTTAAAACTGCAAAAAATTTACTTGGACAAGAAAGTTCTACCCTTGAAATTTCATTTGAGTGGTTTATATCACTCACGATCCCCGTACACGCTCTCTCAGCTCTGTACAGTGTTTCGTACTTTCTCGTAAATGGTGACACTGTAGGGTTAAGTTTACATTTGTAATCTATATATAGTCAAACTTGGAACTATATTTAATCCACTGATGAAAAAGTTAAACAACCCTCGCGTGACCTTCCCGAGAACGATGCCAAAGAGCGCGTGATTTCCTTTCTGTCTGGGCTCTGGGTTTTTGCACATGCGATATTTTAGCCGTAAAAACATCACAAAATAGTTAACTCTGTGAAGAAAGATATTTCTTAACTAAGTTTCTCCTAGAAGAAGTGAAATGCAAATTTGTCGCACAAGAAAATTATGCCTTTTTTAGAAATTATAAATTCGGATTTGGATCAGTTAACTAAAGAGTTTTCCCGTCGAAACCGAAAGGTCATAAACTTATCAGAAGTAAAAATATCAGATTGATTTCCTTGAATACTGTTTGTTGGAAAGCGAAAGTACGCCATCGATGCCTTCTTGTGCTTTTTATTTTCTTCGGTAAACAACAAAAAGCTAGGCATTCGTGACACTGGTTAGGGGCACCCAACGTCAATTTTCGGAAAATATCTGTTCGGAAGACGATTTGAGATCTAGAATTTTCGGAACATTTGTTGTAAAATTTCTTGCTTTCCTGCCTCTCCTAAGATTTTCGAACATCTAGAAAATGGTACAATTGGCCATTTTTAACCTATTTTTACCCTAAAAAGGTCACCTAAAATTTTTGGAGCCTTTTTTTGGGCTGAAATTTTCGAAAAGGTAAGTTTTAATCCCTATAATTTTAGGATCACTAGACTTTCAGCTAGGAAATCCGAGCAGATGAAAACTTTTTAGGGGATAAAAATATGCCTATATCTACCGTTTAAATACTAAAATACGTTTAATAATGTTATGTTCAAGTGGGTTTGAACTATATTCTCGTTGGGTGCCCCCGACTGGTCGTGAGAACACGAGAACTTACGAGGCAGCCGACTGAGACTGAGAGCATTTCTTTCTCGTGGGCCTTTTTCAATTGAACACATAAACAACCACAGAAAGATGGTTAGCTACTGGCTATGGCCGAAATGTCATGAAAATCTCTTCTTCGCGGTAACACGGTTATACCTTCTTTCGGCTTGAACCAAAGGAAATTCAACTACTGTAACAGAAGTGTGCTCGTGGGCAAGGAAATTTGAGTTCGGACACCCCTGAAGCCGGTATGTGCCGCCCGAAAGGGTATGGTTTTTGCGCCGTTTTGGTCTGAAGAAGGGTTTAAACTTTGCTCTGGAATCGGTTATGGTTTTCCAGGGAACTATGGGAGTGTATGAACGTATTTGTAGTTTCAATTCCCGATAAATAAAAAGGGAACAGTAACATAAATTCAAAGAGAATTTTAAGAAATCTTTTGTATGGTGTTCTAATCTAAGTAATAATAACAAAATTTCTTAGACACCAAGTCTGAAAACGGGTGTGGAAAATGACATTTTTTGGTCTGACAGGGCCAGGATTTGGAAAACCGGGCGGTACACACCCACCAGAAATCCCCAAAAGAACCTTCCTCCCGGGACACTAAACCACCGTCGGAGCTAATTCCTATGTGACAACTAGAAAGCACAAAAGGAACTTGAGTCAAAAGAAATTTTTACTAAAAACTTAATTAGTTCGTGCGAGACGTATTATTTACACGACCAAATAACTAATAACCTCTAGCGTGTAACGAGTTTTTTTTGCTTCTAGCATGCAACACTTCACTGACTATTTTTAAATAACATTTTTTAAACAAAAATAAATACAAATATTCTTTTAGGTGTCGCAAGTGAAAAAAAAAAAAAATCTTTTTTTCATACAACACCATGTCTTAGTGAACAAATCATATTTACAAAAATTAATACTTCAATAAATATCAACGCTACTGAAAAGGCATCACCATTCACTGTAGTCTCCCTCGCAGCCGTTTATTTGGATGTCACGCAACGCTCCCCCAAAGGAGCGTTGCGTGACACCCAGAAAAACGGCTGCGAGGGAGACTACATTCACTGAAGTTGATTAGTAATGTCTAATGACAGTAGAGGGATCAACTCTTGGTTTCCGTTTTACAGAGGTGCACGTTAAGAGAGATAGTCGACTGTAGCACTCAAAATACCTCTTAACCCATTACTGCATTATTTTAGCGCCAATTATTTTTTTTTATATTTATATAAATGGAAAGACTACTCTTTTAGTACAAAATATAGATAAAGAAGAAAATGATCCTATCGCCAGCATGCAATGCATGAAGAGCTGGCTCATCCGGGTACAAATCATCGCCCGCAATGTATCACTGTCGGCGATTGCTAAGTACTTACAACCCTACGTGGAGGGTACAAATGTATTCTCTACAAAAGGTTTTGAAGCCTGGGCCAGGTTCCGCAGTGGGAGAAAAGGCGAAAAAATCACCGAGAGTCCTTTCTCCCTCCCCAGTCCACCACCCGCTTTGCTCGCTGTTTTTCGCTGTTTCATCCAGTTTTTTGCCTTCCCGCCCCACTATGGTCCCTGGCTAAAGTTTTGTAGAGAAGGTGAACACACAAAATAAAAATTCCCTTTGACTACTATACGTGACGACACTAAAAACGGCTGTGTAGCAGACTACTATACGTAACAATTGACTCTGCCTGCTTTTAAGCACAGTCACACAAGTAAAAATTTGACCCAGTTTTCCGCGCATCTTCGAAATAGTCCATGAAAGAAGAGATTTATAGCGTCTCCAAAACAGTCTCTTAGCGCACCCTCAATTTTTTCCGCGGATTTTACCACGATCACAAACGTGCGCTCGCACAATCCAACATAGCACTTAATCTTGTAGATGGAAGGGTACATATCATTTAGCCAACGATTCCGAAACAAACTCATGCTTTACAAATTCGCGCCTTTTTTGGATTCAAACCGAGACGGATGTAGGAATTGTACGATTAACTGAAAAACAGCGTACCGTTATGCTCTGGACACCCAAACCGGATTTTTTGGTCAAATGGTAAGCACCCTGAGTGACTCTCTGGACCACATTCAGCTGCTTGTCAGTTGTTCAATCAATACGCCTGTTTCGAATTATCAAAATTCATACTTGGCTCCGAGTCTATCTGTAAGCGGACCCTCCTTTAGTCTTCATCTTGCTCCGAGTCTGAGGGAAAAACAAAAGCCTTGATGAACTGATTCTCGCAGAATGTCAATGTGCTTTCTTTTGTTTTATACCCCTCAGCCTTGGTGCCAAGAGTGAATTTCAATGATTCGAAACAGGCTTATTTACTACTATTTGCTTGACATTTAGCTCATTTCATTTTAGGTCTGCCCTGACTGGCTTACATAATAACCCTAGCATATATAAGATAGAAACCCGTGTTGATCGTCTCCTGCTACCAATAATTTTCCTTATTCGAAGTCGCTAGTATCATCATCGTCTCCGTCGGCTCCTCTATCACTCCTCCCAGTCTTGCTCAGTGACATCTGCGATCCCAAGGATCCTTGGGAGCTAAATCGATTGAGCGAGGTCTGAGAACCATCCCTTACTACATCAAGTCGTGTAGGGTGATGAGCGGAATGAAGGTCGTTCTGAAATGCCTATCAAGAGTTAAAACATTCTCCAATAAAAAAAAGTGCAGTAAATATAGTAGGTCTTTGCCTTCATTTATCTCCAAACTCCCTGTGTTATGTTAATCATGTCGGTTTAATTTTCACAACCAACCGACAACTACTTCAGCGCATCAGCGAACACACGATCTAATTTATTCAGACTTGAACTCTTTTAACAACATCGAAACGTCGACTAACGTTCTTAAGTTTGATTTTTCTCGTTAAAATAAAAAAAAAGAAACAGCAGTGAAGATGAATACAACGCCTTTTCCCATGCTTCGCGACACCGCTTGATTTTCCCGCGCATAACAGAGCTTACAAGTTTTTCCCGCGCTATGCAGCGGCTTCCATGCTTTCCTGCGCATAACAGAGCTTGCAACAGACTCACTTAGATTTATTCTCGCAAAGAAATATGGAAAGGCAATTTGACGCGCGCAGTCACAGCCCATGCAGAGAAGCAACTAGGTAGGAGTCTGGAGCTTGCAAGTTTTCCTGTGCATAACAGAGCTCATAAGTTTTCCCCTTGTTACGCAGCGGCTTGCATGCTTTCTTATGCTGCGCATAACAGAGTTTGCAAGTTTTGCTTGCAAGTTTTCCCGCGCTATGCAGCGGCTTGCATGCTTTCCCGCGCTTTCAGCACATACTTGTTCTTTAAAGTAAATAACAAATAACAAATAACAAATATGAAATTTAAGGTAGAAAAAACAACAACAACAAAAACAACAACAACTATGTAACCTCAATATCTTGCTCTTCGTCCATGGAAACGAGATTTTGAATAGCAGTTGTATAAAGTTCTAGTGCCTTTGCATGAAAATACATCTGGCCATGAAAGAAATTACTGAATACCGTCTGCGAGAACAATGAAAGAGGTATCATTAGTTTCTTAATCTAAGAGAAATCTCCTGCTTTTTATTGCATAAAAAGACCATACCGTAGTAACNGACATGTTATGAAATTTTGTTGTTCTTGAAAAAAAAAAAACGTCCGCACAAAAAAAAAACATCAAACACCCGCGGAAAAAAAAAAAAAAAAGTATTTTTTTTTTTTTAAAAAAAAAAAAACTTCCTTTTTTTTTTTTAAAAAAAAAACACACCACAAAAAAAAAAACAAACAAACAACGGGAAAAAAAAGGGGGGGGGGGGGGGGGGGGGGGGGGGGGTCCTGATCCCGCATTCCCGCTCCTTTTTCACGACAATCCCGCATCCCGAACTTCTGACATCTCTGTCCCGAATACCGCCTGCCGAATACCGTTTTCTTTCCAAAAACCGCATCCCGTGCCAAAATTTTGGCGAATCCCGCTTCCCGGGTAGCAGTCAAATTCCGTATCCCGTCAAGAGATTTTGCGTTTTCAGAAATCCCGTACTGTATTTGGGTCAAATCGCGGAAACCGAGAATATTCCTCCAAAGCCTGAAGAAAATACATGTAAAACTGAATTTTTGTGCTTTCCAGCTACTTGAAATCCTAGGGTAACACTCAAAGTTTTAAATTTTCTTTTTGTTTTCAAATAAAGATAACATTGTTCTTTGTTGCAGGCGCCTCATCTTCTTGTGAACAAGCTCGAATGATGTCAAGTTCAGGGGCGGATCCAGGATTTTTTTTAGGAGGGGGTGCACTCGTCTCTTGCTCTACTTCAACACCAATAAACCACATAGTTTTTTTTTGCAGAATACCAGTTGTATTAGAAAACCGCAGGTCATCTCAGGGAGGGGGGGGTGCACACCCCCTGCACCCTCCCCCTAGATCCGCCCCTGAAGTTAAGCTGGATTAGCTGGAAGCATCACCAACAAACTCAGTTCCATTTGTCAGGACTTGCTGACCAGGCCATTCCCGTTGTAACAAGAATCTCACTTTTAATCAAAACTGTCCAGTCAAATCAGTCAATTCCTAAATGCAAGGGGTTGATAGGTTTTTTTGGATCATTACATGTTTCTGGGAAACTCCCCACCTACCCCTCCCCTAAGCCAACATTTTGCCCTGAGTGAGAAGTAAGTGTTGATGTTGGCTTAGGGGAGGGGTAGGTAGGCGGTTTGTTTCAAAGTGAACATTTCTGACTTTTGGAAAGTGTCCCCGTATTGCATATTTTACAGTCTACTCCCTTCAAACCGACTCTCTTTCATGCAAGGATTACAAATTCTTTTCTCTCTTATCAAAATTTACCTTAATGTCTTCCATCTTTTTTCTTTCAAATTCTATCATCTGTTCCTCAAGAGTCTGTCTTGCTCGGTTTGCATCAACTGTTAGTTTCTGAAGGTCCTGCTCAAGCTTAAAAGGGTTAAACATTAATAGTAGAATTATTCTACTATTTACACAAGCACCAAAATGTAAGAAAAACGATTAAATCATAGCCTAATTTACATTAACTACTCCTAAAGCAGTCACAAAAATAATAGTCAAACTTTTGGAAAACAGAGCTCAGTTTCACAAAAGCAAATCAACATTATCCCAGGGTTAAATTATAACCCATGGGTTCTGGGTAAAGGGTATTTTCTTTTAAAATTTTGACCCATAATGAGGTCTTTAGTACCCTGGGTACCAGAGGTTTTTTCTCACGTGGGACGAGGAGCTTGGTCGGCTACAGGCTGACACGTCTTGTGGTGAAGCAGGTCACTTTTTAAGACTTGACCGAAACGGGAAACCGTCTCTGGAATCCGGGGTAGGTCTTTAGGTAAAAGCTTTATAATAATAATTTATGAGGTCCTTTTTCATGGATGTGGTGTTTACCACATGGTTTCTACAGAAACAAATTGTACTGACTAATAATATTTTGTGTGTGCCTGTTAAATCTCATGAAAACCCTTGCAATATCACTATAAAAATATTTACTGGTGCCTCCATATCCTCAACCAAGGCCACACTTCATCTTCTCTGTATGTCATTGTAGTGAGACACAGCAAAAGTTGATCACTGAATTTTTTTACCCACCTGGGACTGAAAACAGTTAAGGATAAAACAATGCAGCTCAAGATTAACTACAATTTGAATGAATTTATTGTGGAATGGATGCCCTGATGAAGAAGGGATGTGGGATGCAGCGATGGGGTAGGATTAAATTTCAGCCTATATATGAGACCCAGGTAGGCAGGTATCTTTTCCCTAAAGATACCTGCCTTCTAAATAGTCAAGAAAATGGAATAGGATCTATAATGACTGAAGCTAAAAATTAAATTTTAAATTTATTCTGCTTGTTCTATACGAAAAAAAAAAAAGAAGAAAAAAAAACATTAAGTTAGGTAACATTAGTTTCTTTGCTTTTAGATTAATTGCATTATGTAAGGATATGATTTTTCCTTTGTTTCTTGGTTCTTTTGTTTTTACTTTATCTAGTGCTTTACGTTTCAGTATTTCCTTTTCTCTTGTAGCATTAAGTTCTTTGACATATTCTCTGGCATGTTTACAATTTGTAGCATTCAAAGAAAGAGGAGGTGAAACCTTTGCATGCACAAACTCCGCCTGAAAATAAAATAAAATAGTATTATTTTCTATTATATGACATGTTTAGATCCTAACATTTGAGTTAAGAAGGACTTGGTTTTTATTTAATGGTCAATCAGCTGGAAGCAGCTTTTCATCCTAATCAAAAGAAGTGTTTACATCTTACCCAGAGGGAGGAGCGCTTACTCCTATAATAGAACATCTTACCAGTGGAGGGAGGAGCTAGGGCATACAGTCGACTCTCTCTTAACGGACACCTCTATAAGATGGACACCTCTGTAAAATGGACACCTAGAGTTGGTCCCTGCCTTTCTTTACTCCTTTTATTTGACTGACATCTCTCTACAATGGACACTTAGTACCGGTCCCAAAGGTGTCCGTCTTAGAAAGAGTTGACTGTACTCCCAATAACTAAAATCGCCTGATCGCAGGTTACCCAATAACAGACTATACAGGGATGCTCGTCATAACAGGGGTACCTGTACCTTATTCTTAAAAGGGCTAGAGGGGTGTAAAATCATAGGGACTTAATGAGAGGTGGGAATAGAAAAGGTTACAGAAAATGACTCTTTAAATTTAAAAGGGTTGGACAAAGTGCATATATATGTAACTTTCCAAAAGATGCATAGAATTGATCTGAGTACATGTATTTCACAAGGTTAATTAACTCAGGAAAGAGAATAAAGTAGCTATTAAGTTTTTACAAGCTGTTACTATAAGGGGAATCATTTTGGTCAAAAGTGGTATATTCCTATTGTATGTTCTTATAAAAGGGTAATCTTATTTGAACCACAAGACAGAGCCATCCCCTCACAAAACTTTGCGTTAAAGATCCCTTCCCACGCTATCCTTGTCATATTTCCTTATAAGCTAACTGTTTTTGAGTCACAGCCCAGCCTGGGTAGCCATGAGTTTAGCGTCGGCTGTGCTATAGCATGTGCAATATTATTAATGTGAGGAAAAGACTAGTTTTATCCATTACTGATGTCTTTGGATAAAGCAGTTTTAAACAAAATGTAACATTATCATTTTCAAAACTGTCAAACCCCTATAAATGAGGACACTGGCTGCGGTCACATCTGGGCTACTAACTATAGTTAAGATGGAGATAACTGTAGTTAGCTATTTCAGTAATGTGACCGCTTCTCTGTTCGCTCTAACTATAGTTAGAAAATTTACGCCTTGGTGATCCAAAACGATACAGACTAACTATAGTTATACCCAAGCAGGGTTCTTAAGTTAGTCTTAAGTTTACAAACAAACAACCAATCAGAATGTGACACTTCTTTTCACAAGTGTGAGATGAGCATAAATATGCAAAATAAAAACCAAGCGTGAAAAAAGGGCGAAACCAAAAACAACAAACAAAAAATTTACATAGGCTAATTAGAACTAGCTGTTGTTTATAACTGTGTGGTGTGACTGCAATGTCGACCGGAAGCACTAACTACAGTTAGGTATGACATCATGTAACTTGACACTAACTTAAGTTAAACTTTAGTTATGTCGTAGATGTGAGCGCAGCCACTGAGGGAACCTGTTACTATGGACAGTTTGCTTTGTCCCTGGTGAAAGAAAGCCCTTACATTTTCTCTAATAAATTAATTCATCCTTATAGCCGTGTTTGTATTAAGTGGGTGTCCGTAAAGTGGGTTTGACTGTATATTTGCAATGTATTCCAGTACTTTACCTGTGCGCCCAGGAAATCCTGCAATGAAGCTATGTTTTCGCTGACACCAGCCAAACTTGCTTTCATTGATGGATATTCCTCATCAGAATACAGGTCAACACTTTTGGATAATTTCATGCCTTTTTCTTGCAGAGATACCAGTCCTGTGCTTAAGGCTGCAAAATCTTTTAACAATGTGTTGAAATGCCTCTCTGCAAGATTAATTCTCTCTGTTATGACTTTCAGTTCATGGTCTCTACAAAAGAAAGTACATGCAAAAAAAGTGATTCAGCTGATGACATGGGGGCCACATTACAATGTAGCTGAAAAGATCAACAGCAATTCCCCCACTTAGAACTGGACTTTTTTTTCCTGCAAATTCTGTGAGAACAATTTGAGCTGTTTTGTCAAACAACATGGCTCCCTTGTTGTGTGGTTGCAAACCAAGAATTAATGCATTAATTGTTTCAGAATCAGTCTTTTATCAAACCCTCTATTTCCTCATTACAGATTGTTGAGAGTGCATGTTACAATATAGTTACTGCAGAGGATATATTGACTGCTTCCTGAGAAGGAACTTGATAAAAAGACATTCCACAAGTTAACAATAGATTATTTTAACCTAGAATCTAGAGAAGGTATGCAAGAACCTATGGGGGGGAGGGGGGGGGGCGGACAAGTACTGCCAGTGGCATTTTCATAATTATTTTGCTTGACATGTGTATCATAAAAATATTCTTTGGATGTTGTTTTTAAAGTAAGTGATAGAATGTCAGTTCTCTTTGGATGTTGTTTTTAAAGTACTTAAGTGATAGAATGTCAGCTCTGACAGTGTTTGTTTAAGAGTCTTGTCATTTAAATGAGCAGCAATTGGGGATTATTAAATTTTTGGAAACACAGTGAATTCGAAGGGACAGTGTGCACAGACATTTTTTAAACTTCTTCAGATTTTGACTAGCAACTGTTTTAAACAATGTTTTTAAAACAGTTATTAGTCCTCATCTGAAGGATCCTGAAGAATCTGTAAAATGGCATGTTTTTGAATCTTAAAAAAATATTATGGACTACATAGCAGTTAATTTTACAAAAAAACTTAGTAGACTTCTGCAAGTGACAGCAGCCTCCAGGCTGCAGTAGATGCTTCGAATTGTACAGGTTAAAAGCTATAAGAAGACTTATATTAATAGGCTAACCTTGCTTTCGTTTCACTTCTTATCTCACTTGGGGTGGAAGCACTTAAATTTGACGAAGACTTCTTCATTTGGAAAAAAAAAATGCACCAATGGATGGCAATGATCAACAATTTCTTCAAGAAAGTTCAAGGACGCGATCAAAGATTGCCTGGCAACGAATCACTCTCTCTTTTCTTTAAGACATCCAATAGGGATTGATGATTATTCACGAGAACTTTTTTTAACACCATATAAGCTTAAAAGCTGTTAAAAAAACGCAGCCAACGCAAAAAATACTCTACGATTCCGAAGACATTCGCTTTGCCCGCGAAACCGCCACATTTGTCAATCGCAATTTAGTCCCTTCCCGGGAGGTGAAAGAAAACTTTCGCCCTAACGCATGCGCATTTCATCTGCTAATTTCGGTCGGCCATTTTGTTGGCCAGGTGTCGGTCTTTTCAAAACGAAAAACAACGTTTTTATCTGTCAGAACTTTTATTTATCTACTTATTGCTGCTTCAAGGAGTGCCCTGAATCATTTGGTACCTTGCACGAGGTTTGAAGAGAGTGGATTTTCGCATTTCTAAGCGAAAGCCAGTCTTGGCTGCATTCACGTGTTCAGGTGAGCTTTCCAAAGCCGGTCTGTTGTTACTACTGCTGTGTATTTTGTAGCATTTTGCATGCTTCTTTTTAAAATCGAGTGACGTATTGTTTGCTGTCGTTAATCTTTGTTCCTATAGCAGCATATCATGTACTGCATGTTCAGAGGGAAATTTGAGCCAAAAATTTAGTTATAATACATACAGTCTGTTTAGTTTCTCACAATTCGATGCTTTCTGAGACAGACAGATCTAAGTTTGAGGAAACATAGAGACTGGTTGAAAGTGGGGAGTCACTGTGTTAAAAAGATCAGCCATTAACTGCTTTGTTACCCAGCCACAAAAAATACAATAATATTAAACAAAGGAAATTAATAGCTGATTTGCATCCTGTAAAGAACACATACTGTATCATCTTAAAACCACTTGATCAGCAATAATTTCTAGGGAACCTGCAACAGTTTAACAATAGTGAGTTTAAACAACTACAATAGTGATGCCAACTGTATAAACAGTAGGTCTGAAAAGTAAAACCCTGCATTTTTCCTGCTTAACAGCATTAGAGAGATTTAGAGTCATGTTTACAGGAAATGTCAAATGTGAATTTCTGCCACATGACCAAGTTTTCCCGTCAAACATGTCTTCAACTGTTCTTTACTTGAACAAAAAAATAAGTGCCGTATATTTTCGGTTATAAGGCACACTCAGTTATTAAGATGCACGGCAAACTTTTCAGTGCAATTTTTCTAAATTAACAAACTGAAAATTAAACCAAAATACCAGGCTATAAGGTGCAGCCATGATTTTGGTGATGTTCACCTTAACTACGACAGCATGCTTTCCAACAACGCTTATTACGGCCATTCACCTATGTGATCAAAAGAGAAAAAGGTTACATATTTCGATCAAAAGTGAAAAAAAAAAACCTATCAACACAAAAGGCATTGTTTTCTAAAGTTGTGAATACTTAGGGAATCCGTTTTTGGTTAATAAACAAGTCAGCTGTCTTGGCTGGGGCATACTGACATCGATACATACATTGGTAGTATCAAGATAAAATTGATGGCATAATACATGAGTCTGAACAATTTTGTTTATTAACTGCCAAACCTGTAAGATTAGGCCCTTGTTAATCAAAATAACTGTGATAAAAGAGCTCTCACAGTTCTGTTGACAGATTTGGGAGCTTTCTTTGGGAAATAAAGGTATGAAACAAGTGCAAGATTCCAGTGTAGAAGTGACTCTAAACGAATTTGACTTAATTTTGTGTTGTTGCCCGAAGATACTTGGTTATAAGACGCACCCCAAAATTACAACAGATTTTATAGAGCTACATGTATCAAGCAAACTTTCATTGAAAAAATGCTGCGCCTTATTTAAAGCAAAAAAATATGGTAGTTTCACATTATTTTCATCCATAAGAATAAATTGTTTTAGACTGTTTTTATCTGCTCATTTTCTGTTTTAAGAAATTCTCAACTTGGGTCTGCCATTTGCCAGTTGCCATAAATGTCAATCTAAATCTATCTATTGTTGAGTTCTCTGATTGAAGGCAGGGTGCAAAGAAAATCATTTTTACAGCTTGCCATTCGGGCAAGCTAAAGCTAACATTTACTAGCCCAGATGTCATTTTAACTAGCCCCAAAAGCTTTGTGAAGAGCAGAGTTAATTTCACAGTTCTTCTGTTATTCAGTTTCCTCAAAAAAGATCACTTGCCTATCGGGCAAGTTAATAACAGAATTCACTAGCCCGATAGCAAATTCCACTAGCCCCGGTTTATCGGACACTACTTTCTTTGCATGCTGTTGAAGGCTTTACCTGTGACTTGAACTTATGATGATTTCTTTCCCTCTCTCTCCACGCCAGTCTTTGTTCTCACTAATATACTTATTCCCTTAGTTAGACTGTTTTGTCCACTGATTTGTTTCAATGGTGCAATAGAGAGAGTCTATCATTCATAAAAGATGCCAATCTTGCCTTGGAACCTCATGTGTAATCAAAATATACTGAAAAGCAAACACAACAAAAAAACTCTCAACAATCTACTTTGAATGAACTGGCAATTGCATGCTAAAATATAAACAATTTTGATCCAAAAGAAAAGTCTGCCTTAAATGATTTGTTCAGTAGGCCATAGATTTTTTCAGGTGCTTTGACTACCAGACTTTTTTACTCTTTTGAGTAACAATAAAACAAGCTACTATGTTGTTAATAAATAAAGTTGTTGTTTTGTTTATTAAGCCAAGTTTAGATCTTACATGTAGTATCATTTGGAAACTGTTTCAACTGCATTATTGTTGATTATTTTCCAGGCTTTTAGTTTGCTCTTTCATCCTGGACTTCTGATGCGAAGAAGGGGAGGACCTCCGCCAAGGGGACATTTTGACGGGCCATACCCTCCGCGACCACCTCCGGATTATTATGATGGCTTTGGACCACCCCCATCTCCACCATGGGAACGCCGAGACCCTTATGGTTACCCCCCATCACCACCACCACCTCCTCCTGGACCACCCCGAGGTTGGTATGATCGACCGTTAACTCCACCACCTCTGTGGCTTAGAGATGATGATCTGCCTCCTCCTCCCCCTCCAAGACGCCCTCCACCATCATCATTTGCTGATGATGATTTTTACCCCCCTCCACCTCCATTTCGTTCTAATGGTCCACCCAGGGGAAGAGGAAGAGGAGAGGGGCGAGGTGGTAGCCAAGGGCGAGGTAGGGGTGATGCCCCAACCTCACGTGGGGGAAGTCAAGGAAGGGGTTCTGCTACTAGAGGAGGAAGTAATAGCAGGGGAACAAGAGGAGCTACTAGTTCACGTGGATCGTCAAGTGGCAGAGGGGGATTTAGAGGAGGAAATAATTCATCCAGGGGTACTCCTGGTAGAGGGGCAGCTAGAGGGACAAGTTCAGTGCGCGGTATGGCAAATGGAAGAGGCGGAAATGCTTCAAACAGTGGAACAGCCACGTGGTTGAATAAAGCAAGAGGTGATGCTCAAACAGGAAATGTTGGAAACAGCAGCAACCAGTCTGTTGTCCAAACTGAGAACACACCACAAACTACTAATGCGACAAAGACTGCAAACATGAATAATTACCAAAGTTATTCTATGTTAAATAAGGCCAAAAAGGAACAAAAGAAAGTAGAGAATACTGTGCTGAAAGGTGGGTAATAGCGCAATATTTGAATATTTTAGAGTTCTTGTTATGTGTTAGAATAAGGACAGGTATGCACCTTAAGTGTGTGTGTCACAGGTCAAAATTAAATCCAGGTTACATTTTTTTAATCTATGTTGATTCTCAGTTTTCTTTGTCTCCTAGCCCTAATTCATGAATAATAATACAAGTAGGGCTATGAGACAAAGGAAGGTGAGAATCAATGCATGTTAGGAAATTTTAACCTTATATTAATTTCGACCTGTAACATATGCCACAACTATACAGGGATATGTAAGGCTGTCTCTTACCAAAATCCCAAGGAACTTTAAAGTTTTTGTCGGAAGTCTTAACTTGAAAGTGAGATACAGTGTGCAAAGAAAGTCATGTCTGACAGCCCGTGGCTAGTGGATTTTGCTATCGGGCTAGTGATTTTTGTTCTTAACTTGCCCGACGGAGAAAATCAAATTACAGAAGGATTGTAATCAATCCTGCTTATCATAAAGAGTTTTGGGGCAAGTTGAAATGCCTTGTAGGCTAGTACATGCTAGCTACAGCTTGCCTGAATGGCAGGCTATAAAACTGAATTTCTTTGCACCCTGGAGATATGACTTTGCAAGACCATGAGACCAAAGGCTAAGACTTAAGTGTTTAAGGCTAGTTCAAGACTTATTTTGGCAAGTATAGATTTAACAAATCAATCACAATTTTTCATGGTCTGTAATCTTGTCGACCATAGAAATGACATCAGAATGGTCAATACTCAAGTGAACCATGAGTTACAGGCCATGGAAATTTTTTGTCGATTTGGTTTTTACAATAACATTGACAGTTTTTAATGTCATTTTCCATCAACATTTCTGGGAAATTTGTGAGCGCGACAAGGACAAAAACAAATTGCGCCACCATCACGTCATTCCCATGGTTGTACTCTCACCGAACAAAGCTCTCGACCAATCAGCGTGAAAGAAGTTGTTCAGTTATTGTAAAATAATATTTTGTTACATAATTGTAGTTGTGGTTGTTGTGCTACCTCTTTATAGTTTGATAGGAGAGGTTTGAATTCTACTTGTTTTCAATATCGCTTTCCAGCTGCTATTCCTGGGCAGTTAAACTTCATTTCATTCAAGAACAGTCTTCAGGAATGTTGTCAAAAACAGCAATTACCAGTTCCTGCTTACAAGTCTTGGAAGTTCAGCTATGGCTATGCAGCCAAAGTGGAAGTAGCTGGAAACACTTTTAAAAGTACTGGAGTACAAGGAGATCAGAAAGAAGCACAGCAGAATGCAGCGTACAATGCCTTGGTAGGCCTTGGATTGATTGACTCCACAGTTCCATTTGATGTCAAAACTGCTGCAGGTACATTGTATATTATTTTTTCACTTTAGTACTTCAAACATAGAAAGTGTACCACACATAATTTTCCTTGTCATTATCATCAAAGTTCCTGAATTTTGTTTGCTCAATGATTTTTTTTGCCTATATCAACCCCTCATGCCACTAGCCCAAGCCCATTATCAAGGTAAAAATTCACTTTTAGTAGTTAGTCCTTAAGCACCAACATCCACCTAAAAATTATCCAAACTGATCTTTATACATATTTTTCCCAATAGACTACTTGAGAAAATTCGATAAGTAGGTTGATTATGATCGTCCAGGTGAACATAGTCCTAAATAGGACTGTCATTGACAGTGACTAATGTTTCAACAACCTGTGCGGTAGTCATCTTCAGAGTCAAAGTGAGTTGTATCACATGAGTTGATGGTATGAAACTTATTGACCTGATTAGTCAATTAAGTCATGATGTTATTGGTCGTCTGTCAGTTAAGCCATGATGTTATTTGCTTGTGAATTTAGTGACAGATCAAAGTGTTTTCTTTGTGGTGATCAGTTTATTAATTCACATACAGTCAAAGCTCTCTTAAGTGACTACCTGGGAAATTTGAAAAAGTGGTGGTAACTAGAGCTAGTTGCTTACGAGAATGAGCTCTGGTAAGCTACCACATATTATTTTACATGGTAAAACAGTACAGGGTTGTCGCTTACAAGAGCATCAGAAACTCGTTCATAAAGAAAATTAAAAGCAATTTATGTTTAACGAATGTTTTTATACATGTGTCTGGTTGTAGACACGGCCTATCTTTGCTTCCAAATTTTTTAGAACAAAATAACCCCAAATACAGAACTGTGCTCTGATGCACTGTACAAGATCTTAATCAACAAACCATTAGCACGGTGTGCAGTTTCATGAAAGTGTTGATTTATTTTAATAAGTACTCCAAGCAGTTGCTTTCGAGAGCTTAAAAACAAAGGAAAAGTCCAGTTGTCTAATCCCAAAAGTGGTCGCGGTTGCTTACAGGAGCAGTCGCTCACAAGAGCTTTTCATTACAAAGTTTAAGTCACAGTTCAAACAGGGTTTCGCAAAGGTGGTGTTAACTAGAGCTGGTCGCTTGGAAGAGTGGTCACAAGGAGAACTTCGACTGTATCCTTTTCTCTTGAAAATGTATGGAAATTAGGAGAAAATTGATGTTGGTCACTTTTGTTAAATCCTTGTTTCTCTTGCAGCAATTAAAAGACCTGCTGTAGACAACAGTGTTATAGAGGATGCATCTGGCAAGCGGATCAAACTGGAGTCTTCCTCGCCCGTGGCCACCTCTTACAAGAGCAGATTAAATGAATTCTGTCAGAAGTTTCGCCTTTCCCTTCCGTCCTACGACACTGTAAAAACGGAAACAGGAAAAGGCTTCATCACAACTATTGTGTTCAACAAGAAAGTTTATCAAAGCAATGGCCCACAGCCCACTAAGAAGCTGGCTGAGCAGAATGCTGCTCAAGTAGTTTTACACATGTTGAACCAGTGTCCAGCACCCCCTCCTAACTGCCAGGATTTTGTTGAACGTTGTAAGCAGCTGAGTTCACAATCAGCACAGTCCAGTTCTACGGGGACATCTGCATCGACTACTTCCTTAACAAGTAAGTTCTTGTTGTTTCTAAAACTGCAAGGCCTTGTAAGTGAGTAACAATGTATCTTTACAGAATATTAACCAAGACAATATGAGGCCTGTAAAAAACAAAATAGTTACCTTAAATGACCTGATAAACGCCCTAGGCGTTTATTTAATTTTTGAAATCCAAGTAGGGGCGATTTATAAATAGGAGGCATTTAAAAGAGAAACGCGTTTATTCTCATAACTGTAGCAAGCGCAACAAAACAAATATGCTTTCAGCAAAAATATAAAGAGAGTTTTAAAAAAATGCAGAATAGAGTTCATGTGATAGTTAGTTCTTGAGTATGGTACTTTGTATGCATTTGAATTCAGTTGCCTGCTAGTCCACGGCATTGGGTTAGCTGCGGCATTCCGTCTGCTGCCACGTGGCCTTAGTGCAGCTTATACAACATGCAGAGTCTCATTGTTTTCCTTCTACTTTGAAGAGATTTCCATCCTAGCTCATCAAGTAGTGCTCCTACACTAGCCGTACGATCATAATTCCTGTCAATTTTAAGTTAATGTCTTTTAATCTCTTCAAATAATGTTGATTAATTGAATTGTGCAACATTGTTTCCTAAAGTACAGATCTTAAACAGTTAATAATCCTTTGAAAGCATCAGAATGTTGTGACTTCTATATCTTGATCCACGTAAAATAATTATTGACCTCCTTTAGAGGTTTCATTGAAATATTTTTTAGTATGCTTCCCCCCTCCCGCCCCTGCCTTCCCTCCTGGGTGCGAACAAACTGGAGAATGTGTTTTCACTTTTTTGTTAAAAAGAAAACGAATTTAGTATCAATTTTCAATGCAAAGATTTGAATTATTCGAGGCTGGGCGCTTATTAACTTTTTCTGCCTTTAGGATGGGCGCTTATTCGAGGTGGGTGCTAATTCGAGGCTGGGCGCTTATTCGAATAAATACGGTAAGCCCCCCCAAATCGTAAGGCAAAAAACCCTCCCTTAAATTGCCCCTCCAAATATAAGCCCCCCGGGGGGCTTGTACTTGGAATTTGCCCTCGAATACAAAGTAAAACAAAGCAAAAATGGTAAATTTCCTTTCCACTACAATCTAGCCCAACCGATTTTATAACGCAAATTTCCCTCCGTACATAAGCCCCTCCGAATATAGGCCCCTCCAAAAAATGCCTTTACCATTCAGCTGAACCCACTTTCGCAGGGATGGACCTTCGCTGAATACGAGTTTTTTGGAGTTATTTCTTTTTATTTAGCCTCTATTAGGAACTGAAAGGTTAATTTTTGGGTCTGTTATTTGTCAGAGTCAAGTTTTTAATCGGGATGACATCCTTTTATAATTATTGTCTGAAGCAACGTCTAGACAGAGTGATTTGTCTGAGTATCGCAAGATGTTTTATGAAAGAGACCTTGTTTGGTATAGATTTTGCGATCCCACTGTATCGTCCGTGAATGACTCCTGCTTGTTGTTTGTATAACTTGGAGTATCTCCTATGTACCAGTATTTCACGGTGTCGAAAGCGTGCGCCTTTCAGGGTTTGGAATGCATTGTTTATCACAGGCATCGAACTGATTAAGGGGGGGTTTCTTGATCAGGAAGCGTGCTTATTATTGTGAAAAGCCAAAGTATTTATATCTTAGTTGTGAATTTTAGTAAATTATGAAAGGTGTGATTGTCGTCTGCAACAGCTTTGCAAAAGTTATTTCTTTAGTATTGCTCATCCCTCTTAAAGTGTAAGGTGTAAGTGAAAATAATAATTTATTATATTCCCTGTCTATTTGAGTCCCAGTTTCTAGAATTCAAGCGTTCAGTGTTTTGATGCAAGATCCACAGTACAAAAAAAAAAAAATGTAATGGATTAGCTTAAGGCACTTTTCAACGCCTGATCCTATCAACAGTTTATCCTGAACTATGAATACGCTGTTATTGAAAGCTTGAGGGAGTAAGGCATAGCGCAGAGCAGGCTTAGAATTTCTCTTAGTTTTTAGTGTCCATTAAACTGATAAACATTCTGAACGTCACTTCGACTTCTAGTCTACCACGTGTTGAAATTTTTTGTGTGCGCCCTCCTTTGAGTGAAATTCTTTCATATCAATTCATATCCCGGGGGGTGGACTCCTCATATGAAAGGGGTGGGGATGCTCTTCGTCTCGCTTAGGGGTGTTAATTTCGAATTTGGTCTCACTGAGGGTGTTCTGGGCAAAACGCCATCATATTTAACCGTGAAGGTCTTGTTTAGGGTTGCACGTGAAAAAATATTAAAATATTATATTGTCTGTGTTTTAACATGGTCTCTTTTAGGGGTCAAAAAAAGCCTGGGCCACGCCCAGATCGGTCTCCTTGAGGGGTTTAATTCAAAATTTCCGACGAGCAACCCCACCCCTTTCACATACGGAGTCCCCCCCGGGGTCCATGTGCGGTTTTTCAAAACCACCAATTTCCACACTTCCCCCCACCCCCACCTCCTGAAAAAAAAAAAGAACGGCCCCTTACTTGTTTGATATAGGCTTAGTATTGCAAACTAAGACAATGTGAATTTGTTTGGTCACTAAAGCGAAATCCCGTCAAGATGTAAACGAATTCAGTGATTAATAATTGGTTTGTGTTTATTTTCAGCGTCTGTAGCAGTGGCGCAGATCCCTTTACCATCGGCGCCAGCACCAGCAGCCGGACAAACACCTGCTTCTACATCCCAAACGAATCCTGCGTCGACAGTCCAAAGTACGGCATCTTCCACAATCACGCGTTTCTCTAGTCCAATAGTCGAAAAGATTACCACACCAATGACGCAGCCATCGGTAACGGCAGCGGCTGCCATAGAAAAACCGACTACTGCCTTCACCTCACACAAGAACACATTGCAAGAGTACTGCCAGAAGTCCAAGATAGCCATGCCTGTGTACTTCAGCCATCGTGAAAACGGCGTATTTACATGCACCGTGCATGTGGCAGGGGTAACCTACTCAAGTACCAGTTGCAATACCAAAAAGGGATCCGAACAGACCGCCGCTAGCGTGGCACTGAAGGCCTTGGGTCTAATGTAACCCTACTGGATTTCTTACTGACTTTTATGCGCGTTTGGTGTTGGACTCCGTGAGCATTAAGGTATGGAGATATTAGACAAATATTATTTTTTATTTTTACTCTACTGGATTGAACGCAGTCCAGATGAGTTTGTTGAGCGCGCTGAAAAAGGTTTAGAGTATGAAAAGTAACGTCAACATTGTTCCTACAATCCGTGAGGTGTGGTTCATTTAATTTTTCCGATGGCTTTTGTTATTCGACGCGATATTTGATATCACCCTTTTCCTCATAATTCGTAAAAATTATGTGGACGTTTCCTTGTGCCAAAGGAGGTAGCTCTCTCAAGTTTGGCGCCGGAACGAGGGGCTGTCTGTTTTAACATTTCTTTTTTAGAAAAGAACGTTTTGTTGTTTCGAAGGGGAGACTCTTTTGTTTAGGCAGTATTTACGGAAATTAAATTGCTCTTAGAAAAGTTGGCAGCTGGACATAGAAGTCTTTACAATAGTTTCTGGCTGTCAGAATCTCGTGTCAAAGTAGTAGGATTCTGCGTTACTTTTTAAAGTTCCCCCATAAAAAAATTCAAATGATTTTTATTTGTAACCGGGGTACTTCTCGCCTCCAGAATCCCTTAATGAACTGAGCACCTTTCAGCGTGATTATCTTGGATCGTTTGTGGGACCAGTATGATTGATGATCGGTTAAAGATAAATTCGCCTTTTCTGAAACGACCTCAGAATTTTAGTGCCCTGAAAGCTGGTCACAACCTCCAAAGTTAGAGCTTCTAGAGCGGCCAATTCAGTATTCGATTGGGTGAATAACTGGACTTGTCATTCAGTTCTTCAGTTGTGACAACGTTTAAAGCGAATGCCGAGCTGGCCAACAGTAGATTGTCGTTTTTTTAAATGTTACTTTGAGCTCCCGTTTTTCGAATTTCGAGTATGTCGACTAACAGTTAAAAGGATATGAAAAGAAAGATTTAGCATTTACTTCACTAAAACTTGATTAACTGACCTAAAGGAGAGAAAGGCAGTGAATATTTCAAGTCAACTTTTTGGTTAGGGTTTTGTGATATCCGAAATAATCAAGGTACTGGTAAGTGTTATCAGTCTATGCCGATAACAACCACCTTTACCTTGATTATTCCGGATATCACGAAAACCAAATCTAATAATTATTTTATTACGCATTGTTTTGAAGTAAATTGCGACGAAAACACCTTCGCATGGAACACATTTTGAAATTGTTCTAAAGAATCATGCATTGCGCGCGCAACCTACAGATTACATTGTAGTCAGTTATCTGCTAGCAGATAGCTGTAGTTTATCTGTAGGTTGCGCTGATTTCAAAAATAACTGTAGGCTGTTAGCCAATGAAACGACAGATAGCGAGTGCAATGTATAATATTATGTCCAATCAAACTACTTCATCTTCATTTGAACGATCGTAATATGGGTAGTTTTAAATTGCTCTAAAGAAAAAAAACTTAATAATCATATAAATTGGCCAAAATTGATCCATCCGTTGAACTAGTCGTTTGTCAAGAGGTGGTTTACTGAGCCCAGTTTTAAAGTTTTACGAACTGGAAACTGAAGAAAAGTAGTTCTTAATCTAAGCACAGAATAAAAGACGTGATCTTCCCACAGGAAATAAATCTTCTCGCTGTTTTGTCTATAAGGATATAACACTCCTGAATGCACGTTATTCTTTAATTGCTAACGAAACTCCCCTCCAAAAGTTATGAAAATACACCATTGTTAGCCGCTTTGTTGCATGATGCTTATCCTGCAAAACAGGCGCTTTTTTCGCGTTTTCAGGCGAGCGCGAGACCTGCCCTCGTCGTGCGCGTCTCGCGCTCCACATTTGCTCTGTGGTCGCCTGAAAACAAGAAAAAGTAGCGCCGGTTTTACAGGCAAGATTCTGCTTATCAGCTTGGCCTCTTGATGTTACGTCATTCTGCCCAGCGGGAACATGGCGGGAAGTTGCTAAAAGGTAACCCTCAGTAAGACTGAGTTGAACAGGTAGGCTTCTTTTTCGGAACAATTGTTTGGTAAACGCTCCTTCGTAGTTGCGTCCCACCGATTCACACCTTGGGCGGAATGATGTCACATTCGGAGGTTAGGCTGCCAAGCAAAAAAAAAAAAGACAATTACGCCAATCGGATAGGCTTTCTAAACGAAGTAAACGGACAGTATTTCAACATCGCATCTTCATTTTCTTTGTGTGTCATAAAATGCACTTACATAATGCCCTATCCGGATTGACAAAACAGTGAAGTGATTGATTTATCTCTTGTTGGTTCGTCATGTCTTCTTGCAATCAAATTCGCCTTTCCAAACAGCAGAATTTTGAAAATTTCTTTGGTGTTCCCAGTCCCCTATTTTTCTTTAAGATCGTGGAGATCGAAGACTTTGCGTTACTGGTGGCCATTTTGAATGAGGGTCAAATCTACTTAGCCTGCCCCCCCTTGGTACATATGAAACCAAGATGGCCGCCCGTACCGGTCAGCGCTCGATTTTGGCGATCGAACGAGAAAATAGGGGACTGGGAACAGTCTAGAAAATCGCAGCATCATGTAGAAACTGTTGTCGTAGTTAAAGCAATTGCTACATGTCTTGTGTCCTCTCATTTGTTGACGATGTTCGCGTAATTAAATCGTTGTTAACCGATTTACACTTTGATAAAATTAATAGCTTTAGGCCTTCCTCCTCAGACACTCGTTTAGTTTGTGGCGATGAAAAACCGCTGAGCAAAGTGTAGAGGACAGCGTTTCTTCGTCGTCTTCAGTCACTTTTTTCAGCGGACTCTCCTCAAACTCCGAGTCTCGGCGGAGGAGTGTTACAAGTTACATTCGCACAAAGTAGAGATAAAGTTGTGTTTGTGCTAAAGTACCGTATCTCTCGTGATGAAGAATACGTTAAATATTTGTTCGGAAAAATGTTGTAACTTGTAAGTAGCATACGTCGTTGAAATAAATTATCAGTTCAGTGATAAAGCAGTGTTTCTTTTTTTTTTCTTTCACACCGACGAAGGACCAACTCTCCAAATTTCGGCTTCCCGGTCGCAAAATGTGTTTACCAACTAAATTGACAAGCCAAATTTCTTCCCCCCAGGAATGCGTGACGTACGTTGAGAACCCTTGACCTCTGCGATACCCGTGCAGTGTTGTATCAATTAAACTAACAGGCTCAATGGAGCTAACAATCCAACTGGGAGCTGCTCTCATTTGGCTTGTTAGCTCAATTTACCTCTACAGAAAATACCATAACATACCATAATGCTCTTTGTTTGTCACCCCAAATTGTCTTCATTTTCTCTTGGGGCCATTTTAACTCCTAAGAGAAACTGAAGACAATGCTTATGCAAAATTTTGGAGTGACCAACAAAGAGTATTACGGTGTGTTATGGTATTTTCTGTAGTGGTCAATTCGTAGAGCGCTGCACCGGTATCGCACATGTCAAGGGTTCCAATCCCGTAATAGCCTGAAGTTTTTCAGGTTTTTGTTTTGGCAACTGCAAAAGCTGCGTCTATAAGCGCGATGATCTTTTTTCCTTTATTACCTCTTGACTTTGCTGGGCCAATTTAGGGTGCGTTCCCTTGGAATGGTCCGCATCCAAGATCAGTGATACGAGTGATCTCGGATCACGTTGATCAAATGAACCGATGAATACTTTCCTAGAATGGATTCAATGGTTCCTTTGACGCATCATGATCCGAGTGATCTCAGGTCACTGATCCTGATCCGGATCATCCCAATGGAACGCACCTTTAGTGTTTGCCATTCTTCGATTCAAAAACAGATTTTTATCTGATGCGTTAGAAAACGGAGAGTATATAACAGCTGTTTCAAGTTACCACACAAAACTCTAAGATTAGCGTGTGAAAACAGTAGACATGTCGTCGACGTCAGCAATGGTTTCCCCACCCGGGTGGGGAGTAACCCGGGCCCACCGAGACACTCAGGGCTGAAGACTGAGCCGACTAGTTTCCCCGCGAAATGATGATCGAGCGCAGAAATTCCATCCGACCAATCCGAAGCACTACCCAGATCTGGGTAGTAAAACCTTTTTTGATGTTTTACGTATAAGTTTCTAAGTGTTGAGCTAAGAAAACCTTTAGTGCGTCAACTCCTGGAATTCCAGAGTAAAATTGAGCGCCATTAATTATTTTGGAAGAGGAAGTAGTCTTCTTCAGCTTATGTCCCACGCATTTTACTTCGTTTGATTTTCGTCGTAGGTTGTTAGTGCGTAAGCAGCGTAGGGTTTTTAACTTAGGCGTGGGCAGGTTATTGAATAATGTTCACCATTACTATAAAAATTGAAAAATGGGAGATTTTAAAATAGGTCGAACCTTGTCACTTCTCTCGAGTGCTCAAATTTAAAGTTTTTAGTTGTTTAGCTACTGTTAAGAAGTATTCGTTGGAGTGGTGGTATCTTTAGGCCTTCATTCACAGGCCAACATCCTTGCACTAGAATTTAAGTACACCCCCCTGCGGAAGTGAAAAGTCAAATAGTTTCGACTGATTTACGACAATCCGGTGACGTCATAAGAGCTATTTCAACAAGTTAATTGTTTGACAGGTGTAGCTTTTGCTAGTATGACGCAAGTACTCGACAGAATGAAGTTCGACTCGTCAAAATCACACTTTTACGATGTTTCTTCGTCTTTGTAAAAATCTAGAAATTTCTTTTCTTAAAGTTTGTCCGTCTTTGTTTATTTTATTGTTTTTAGTAACAATCTGTGAATAACAGAGCTCACCTGACGCCTTTCTCATCGTATTGTGTCATTTAAAAGATACCCAATAATTTGACGTTTCCTAAGAAGTTTGAACCCGAGAGAGGTACCTTTATTTATGGAGAATTTATTGGCCAAACTGCGTCAGTTAATTCACTGTTAAAAAAACAATTTAATGCCAGGAATGGAACAGAAGACTTGTGAACATAGATTCGGTTGGCATCGCAACACTGTGGCATCGTCAGAACTTTAATTTGACAACATGCAAAAAATACTAAATGCAATTCAATGTGTTGACTGGCTTTACTTTTTTGAATAATCAAACTAGTTACAATGAAATATTTATTTTCATAAACAAACGCAGCAATAATTTTCTATCAATGTGTTTCTTGTTTCGCCTTTAACTTTTTTGGCCTATCTTGTCAACTCGCAGTCGTCAAAATTACCATGCGAAATTTACCTTTTGTGCCAGGATGTTGATGATTGGTTTAACTTAAAGTCACTACTAAACAAAATTTTAAATGCAACAAATGTTATGGGTTACCGTAGTTTTTCAAAATTTAGTTCTTGGCTAGGAGGGATAACCCGTCACTGGTGATCACAAGAATAATGCGTTATCATGAACCGTAAATATATCATGTATAATAGAGATTTTGAAAGAGTTTGTGTTGTGGTTCGCGAATTCGTGAGTGTACTGAATATCCAAGAGACCCATTCGCTCATTCAAACATTTATAGAATTTGCAGGACTATTTTCCAATTTCCTTTACACGTTACTGTGCTTGAGTTTTTAAGATTTGTTAATTTTAAGGCCTCACTTCCTCGTGGTAGCAATGTTTTACTTGCAAGGTCACAGTAGAAGAATTATATATGAAGCATCTGGGTGGTCCGTTTGTTTCTGTTTCGATGTCCCAATGAAAGTGTCGGAAATGAAAGCACTTGATCGTTACAGGCAGTATACGGTTGTTCAGTGACACTATTTTGGCTTATGATCATTAAGCTTTTCTAAGTGACGGATTACAAGGCTCCTATGGTACTCAGTTTTTGGCAGCTTTTCGGAAGTGGCCACACCTTGAGGGTTTATGTTCAAGTCTGGGCCATTTTTTGCGATTTACAGATGGTTATGGTAACTATTTTAATTAATGAAACTCAATAGTCCAGTATTCTGCCCTCTGCCTGCCGTAAGGAGAGCAAGGCGCCTATCTCCGTGGGAGAGGAAAAAACTTATTTCTTAATTAAATACAGTTTGTCAAGTTTTCGGAGAGCGAAAATTTCCGAAAAGGCCGATAATTTTATGATCCTTCTTTGGAAAGAATCGTGTACATGTATGACCCATGTTGAGTACAATTAATCAACCAATTGAATTTCTAGCAGTGTATTAATTCCATGTTGCAATTTGACGTAGAACAAAAGCACAGATACACAGAGTATTCGTGTATGTCACTGATTTTATTCTCGCAAAGCCGCCCTGATAAATTTCACGCACATAATTCAGTTCTTATCCTTGGGCAAGTTTTACGGACTGTATCGAAATAACCACTCGCGTTGTTGCCCGAAGCGTTTATGATGCAGCCTTGGAGCTTTGTGTTCGACTACACCAGGCCTCCAACCTCGTTCCCAGGGCCCTGCGGTCAAACGCAACCTCGCCCCAAAGGAGAAGCCCTAGGCGGGACAAGTTTGGGTCAAACGTCTAAGGCTTAGTTGTTGTTGTTGTTGTTGTAATTGGTAGGATCTCATTTACCAGTAAGTGTATTAAACATGGGCAAAGATGTATATTTTAATTCGTTAACATAACTATCTGTTCATTTTCTTAAAAATTTGAGCTTTTTTTTTCGTTGAAAACGCTTTGCACCTGAGTAAAATCATCTTGGAAAATTGTGTCGACAAAAACACCTGTAAAAGTTTAGTAAACCACCAGGGTGTTTGTAATGTCTTTAAACTTTTAGCAGTATAAGCAGCAGCAACCTTAGCTTTGAATTACTTACTTCTCTCGTTTGGTCGCAGTGATATGGGAGGGGCGGCTCACACTTCTCTCGTTTGTTCGCAGTGATATGGGAGGGGCGGCTCAGACTTTCGAAGTGAAAAAACCCTGGAAACGAGGTTTCTCAGTTTTTACCGATCGCTTCAAAAAGCCTTGGTAAAGCCTGTGGAGTATTAAGCAATCAAGCAGAAGTTCACGCTCAAATCGCGTCGCGCAAGAGGATTTGGGGCGTTGAGGTTTCGCGCTCGCTCGTGCGAGTACCCGCTTGATTATCTTTTAGGCAAATAAGTTAACTAAACGCAACAAAAATCAACTTTGTGATTACGGGTCACCCCAGCTAGCCTGGTTAGCTGGTACTCCTTATCGAGAGCGTTATGCCGGGATAGGAGACACCTCGGCCAAGCGATTCGGACCGAAACCAATGTTTTTCCGATTGGAGCGGGGAAGGATAATTATCAGCTTGCCAAATATTGAGTTGCTAGTTTCTTTCACGTGGGAGAGGCATGTTCGCCTGCTAGTGCTTCATACTCGATTCATACGATCAGTGTAGTATTATTGGAAGCGTGCAGTGAATGCTGTGCCAGTGCAAGCTAGTCTCTTAGCGACGTTTGATCAGGAAAGGCCAGAAAGGAAAGAACTCGATGACAGCTATACTTATATCTTTTTACAGTTTAATTAAAGAGGCTACGTTACGCTATTTGTCATCTTTTTTTTAAAAAGCTAGAACTTGTCTTCGCATCAGTTGAATTTCAAACTGATTAACCCTTTCACTGCCAGAGTGTTTGATAGAGTTTTGTAAGGTGACTCTAACTTTTGAGTCTGTGGACGAAATCCTATGATGTGACCATTCAAATGAAACCTCTCTGTCTGTACTTACACATAGTGATATTTGTTTGTCAAAACTTTAGAAAATGAAATTTGGAAATTTGGTCGAAATTTGTCTTTGGCCACCTTCGGCAGTAAAAGGGTTAATGGTCTAGTTTTGTTTTTTAAGACTTGAAACTGTTTCTTGTGTTCTGTTGCAACTCCCATGGCAAGGATGTAACTTGGACTGAAACGTTTTAAAGCTTCAATGCTATCCCTGCAAAATAACCCCAAAAATTGTGGTTATTGTTTCCTGATGAAATTATATTTGTTTGATATCTTCTTCAAAACACTACAGCAGCATTTTGTGTTTGTAAAGACCTCAAACCGTTATATCCTCGTAAAATTGCCCTTAAAAATGCCTTCTACAGAGAGTGTTGTGGTTCGAAGGGGAATTGCGATCTTCGACAGAATTTGAATTCCTGTTGTTAGTTTGCTTTACACAGTTGATCGTATCTAGCCCCTGTGTGGACGGCTTTGAAAGTTTCACCGCCCAGGGACTCTTGTCTCGAAAGTCCCAATACTTAACTGGCCCGGAAAAAGCTGTTGTTGATATTCAAGATTGAGATAGGACATGATAAAAACATCATTTAATGAAAAACAAAATGGACCGATTTGATTTCAGGCCCGAAAAGTTACGGGGACTTTGGAGAAACAGGCCCCAGGGCACTTGAAGGTGAACTTAAGGCCCTGAGCCTAAAATAGAACCAAACAAACACGGAACAAAGTACACAGTACTTTGAGTACGTTCAGGAACTTGAAAAGCGGAAGTTTGAAGTCGAGTTACAGGTAATGAGAGGCTTGTGACCTTCTAAAGGCAACATTTTGCGTGCTTTGTTCCAACGTCCGGAAAGCATGTTATTTCAAGCCCGCAAAAGCTGTTCTATTTGCTGGATGTATCCTAGCTAATGTACCGCCGGAATCATTTACTCTTAATCACTGAGCGTGTATTGTAAATAGGAAAATGTTTGCGCTTTGCACATGTGTAGGGCCCGAGAACCGGCTAGACATTGAATGTGACATTGGTTGATTGATTGAATCCCGGCAGTATTATCTTATGCAATACTCATCAGAAATACTAAGTGAAACTAAGAAGATTGAAATTCTACCTTAGGGTTCAATGGTAAATCTGTGCTCAATTTCGGAGTCGTAGTCTTACTGTAGTGTAACCTTAAGGTCTCCAGTAGCATAACAAGCAGAAGCAGAAGCAGTAATAGTGAGTATTAGTAGTCACTGGAGCAGAAGTAGCGGTAGCAGTAGTAGTAGTAAGTGGTAGTAGCAGCAAGGTGGAAGCAGATATAGCACACAGTAGCAGCAGTACATTTAGGAGTAGTAGTAGCAGTAGTTCCAGCAGCAGTAGCGCCCGCGGGGGGGGCGGGGGGGGGTGTTTGCGCTGTTTTGGTCTGAAAACGGGTATACACTTTGCCCATGTTGGTCTGGAATCGGGTTTGGTTTTCGAGGGAACTACGGAGTGTATGAATGTACTTATCGTTTCAATTCCAGTTGAGAAAGAAACAAAGAGAAATGTTCAAATTCGAAATGGATTTCAAGAATTGTTTCGTTTGCGCTCTAATCTGAGTAATGATAACATAATTTCTGCCTAAAGGCCAGGTCTGAAAACGTGTATGGAGTTTAGAGGTCTAGTGTGGAAACGGTTGAAGAAAACTACATTTTTTGGTTTGAAATCGGGTCAGGATTTGAAGAACTGGGCGGCACACCTCCACCAAGAATTTCAAGGACTACCCCCCTCCTCCCCCGGCAGTAGCGTAAGTAGTAACAGAAGCACGCCAAGCTCCCAAGCATCAGTGAAGTCGCAGCCCTCGTCACTGGTTATTGCTTTTAACTATTAGTGTTTTTCCAGTTGGTGGTTATCAGAACAAACTTTGTATCCACTGCTGGGGTTATGTCATGTCATTGTTGTGTTAAGTGCGATGCGAAATTAATTGGCTTGAATTCATCTGCGTTTTAATCAAGGCCTGTAGTACTGCTTAATTTCGCAGATATTTATATAAATCTCCGCCCGGTTTACCTTGGGCAAATAGTTGTAACAAATCACGGGTAATAACATGAAAGCTTGTCATCTTCGAGTCCCTTCTTTTGTTTCTCCATTGTTTCGATGTACCTAAGTAGAGTAAACCGCTAGTTTAGAGTTTCCCTTTTACTTCAACCGGTTTTTCTTCGGCTCCTTAGCGACCCATTATAACCAGGAAAAATCTTCCACCTTGTTTCCAGCCGAGTTTTTTCTAACGATCCCCTGACACGTCGGTGTCACTGATTGCAACCAAGCCAATTTATAACCTCAAATGTGTTCCTGTGTTTCTCGCTTCTCCCTTTCCCAGCGTTAACCTCAACAATGTGAAAAAAACCTCGAATTTTTTTGTGAATGCTTCGTTACGTGATTTCTGGTTACCTTTTTCTCATTTGTTTAACAAAATTGTTCAGAAAGCGAAAAGTTCAGCGACAGTCAATCCTTTTAGTCAGAAGAGACAAGAATTGTGTCTCGACAGCGAAAAAAATATTATTATAAATCTCCGACGATGTATTTGAGCTGTGCTATGAAATTTTTTTCTCTTTGGTGCGTCAATGACACTTCTTGGATATGCACTTTTTTCCTTGTTTGTTGTTTTTCCTCAGTTTTATGATACTATCTCTTAAAAAGCTTTTGTCAGTATTGCGTTGTTCTTTTCCTTGGCGGCGGTTTCGTTAATGTAAACGATTGGCTATGAATCGCGACTAACTCCTATTGTTTGTTTAGCTTTACAGACGAATTTATTCAGGATAGAGTAACTGGAGGAAACGAACTTGCCAGAAAAATATTCTTCGCTGGTCATTCGTTTGTCGTCGAAAATTAAAAGTGAACCCCCCGTCGCAGTGTTGTTACGATATTTCCATTAACACTCAGCTAAAATATCCAGCGAATTACGTACCAACCAACAAAGATCTCGTCCATCAAGGGGGATTGACGGTTAAACAACCATTTGTACTAAGTAAAATATACCGTATCTCTTCCGGACTTTCGTATTTCGCCCCGAAAGCATTTTGTTTCCTTTGACGGCTTATTGATGCTAACGTGTTCATTACCAAATCGTAATTGTAATTTTTCATTGAATTCAAGACTAAAAATCGATATATGGAATTTTATTTTTCGAATATTCGTTGTTTTTATCTGCCACTTAAAAAGTAATATTGTTCTTATACCCTGTATCGGACTCGTCGCACTCGATACACCGGTTCTTCTATAACTTAATCTTTAAACACCTTTAAATATCGCCATATTTTCAGAGGGCAAATTTTGAGATTGTCAGCACTATTTAGATTATCACGAGAAGAAAAAAGAGGAGTTGAGGAAATTGGTCGCACTAGAAATGACTGAGCGGACCTGGAAATAAGGACTATTGCGAATTCCGTCTGTTTGCATTCATGCTAGACAAACTGTGGACTTCCTTTTTAAATTGTAACTTATCAATATTCCTTGGCTCCTTATCAGTGACAACATATCGTAATTTGCGCTTTTCAAACACCATCTTCAGCGGTAGTAGCTTGCGTGCGTAAAATTTTATGGAAATTTTATCTCGAAGCTAATATAGTGCATTCAAACTTCGCGAAATGTTCTCCATCGCTCTGCAATCTATATTAGTACGTTTTTGTTTCTAAGGATCGTCGGAAATCTTTTGTAAACATCGTTACACCGGCCTTTTTGGGCGTGTGATTCTAGATAAATCTTCTTAGAAGTGGATTTCGGGGGCATTTGTTTTTGTTTAGTTTTAATAGTTCGCCTTGTTCTTCGTTCATTATTTTTGTTTTAAATCGTTCATGCGTCATACCCTACAACGAACTTCATTAGACAGTGGAGAAGAAACTTCTAGTTAAGCGACCTTTCCCTCTGAGTTTTATTTCTGACCTACAGGTGACTCGTTATTTGCATTAAGATAGTTTGTCGCAACCTTTCGTGTCCCGGTCCCGCCTCAGGGTGTTGAGTCCGCCGTTCCTGGTCTTTAAGCAAGTGTTGTTACAGGAAAAAATGGATTTTGCACTTAAAAGCTCTTACCATACACTTTTAACCTGCTAAAACAGGTGTTGGATAAGCGCGAAAACTCAGAGAAGCTGCGAAGCCATCTCGGAAAACTGGCAAAATAACGAGAACCATTTAAAAACCGTTCTCTTCCCCGCGCAAGTTGTAAGATAAGGTAGCAGTTTTATCGTTATCGAGTGGCCGGGAGAATATGGTCCAGTGTTAGGGTGATCCCATGCTGGTTCGTGCTGCGCTGTAATAAGCAAGCCTAGCAAAGGCAAGGGTTAAGCGAGGGATTTGCGTATTCATGAAAATGGGTGGCAAGTTGTTTGACTCGCCTTGTCTGGCAGAGGACCAGTTTAGGCCAGTTCAGGGAAATGACCTGATACGCCGAGAGGCTCGCCTCTTGTTGTATCTGTCACTTTCTACTCACATCATCAGCGCTAGAAACGAGGCAAATTAAAATTTAAAGGCGTCGTTTGCTCGAAAAACAGCACTCTTCCCGTCATTTAGCGCCTCTATTGTGAGCTGCGGAGATGTTTATTTGCAAATAGCGAAGGGGATAAGTCCGTTGCCCAGGGTAGATTTCGTCTCCAGCGAAGGAAAACCGTGACGGCCAGAATTCACTCAAGCGTGGTAATTATTCTAAGGCCACGTGGCATGTGGGCCAGCCCCCGTATCGCCTCTGGGCCAATCAGCGCACAGTATTTGCCGGTATCTTTAGTGACATGTGACTCGACCCGGCTGGTTTTCTGCTCCCACTCACACTTACAAGAACAACATTTCATTGATTCATTCCCTGTCCAAGGGAAAACATGGGCTCTCCTGAGCATTTGGTCTGCTTTCACTGTACCACTGTAAGAGTACCAGTCAGGGAATCCGATAACGATGAAGAAATAATTACAGGCATCTCATGGATTGCTGTCGATGTCAAATCAAATCAGGTAAAAAAAATTCTTGCGGTGACTTGTTATGGATTGTGTAAGTTATTGTGTCGGGGTTTTCCTTGCCCGGCGCGAGCGAAAAAATTCTTGAGGGCTCTGGGGGCGATTTCAAGTGAGAACAATATGACGGTGGTTTTTTTCTTCGCTAACGTTTTTCTCATTTATGCCGAATTAGCTTGGTTCCGTGCAGAGATGTGTTGTGAAAGCGGGCCTGTCTGGAGTGAACGAAGCGTTAAAATCAACCACCAACTCAACTGTGACCAGTGAGGCTGAACTACTCGACGAAGCCTTAGACGAGGTAACGTTACTACTGGTATATGTTTAATCCTTCACTTCCGTTGCCCCCTTTGTTCGATCAACAACAAGACACGAAATTACCGATTTTGAGTTAAATTTCTCTACTCCCCGTCCTCTCTCGCGCTATCCTGCTAGCGGAGGTTGCTCAAGACCCAGAGAAAAATTTCAAGTTATGTCATGCAAAATTCATTGGCGTGATACGCTTGTACGGTTTGCATTCACAATTCATATACACACACTGACAACCAGTAAAGGCCGAAGAAAAGTCGCCGGGGATATTTTTTCATCGCTTGCCACGGTCAGGGAGTGAATCTTTTTTGTACATTCGGCATACGTATTGCGATCTCCTGGGTAAACCAGCCGACGGGGCCTCAATATAAAATTCGATCGGTCGCGCGCTATTTCTAGACAGAGACGCTCGAAATTCATTTCAAGGATTTCTAGATTAAAAAATAATAATAATAAATCGTGCGGGAATGAAATATTAAAAAACAGTTAATCCTAACGAAGTTTATTTCTGAGGTTTTTGTATTGTAAATATTTCTAATCGAAAGTTCAGGGCGCTAGGGCGACCAAGCGCTCAGTATGACTGAGTGTATGGGGCCAAGTTTCTACGTTTCAAGACGACTCAGCGTTGATCGAATATTTACCAAAGTAGTAAATATCTCTTATCTGCCCTTTTCTCTCGAGTATTCCTGTGTGTGGCCTTGTTCACCACTTGTCACAAATCTCGGTTTACTATTATCATTATTTTATTATTTTTTTTCTGGCAAACCTTCTCTCTCTTTTTCGCACAAGAATAACTTTTTTATCGATCACCCCATACAACATTCATAATCTTTAACGGGCAGTTTGGTGAGAAAGTGTTAATACAGCACTCGTTTGGCCAATGAAATATTCGCCTGTTCAACTTCGTGCTTGGTTGATTTTTCAGGTTCCCCGGGAAATGGCAAAATTAAAAAAAAACTTGAGATTTGATTCGTACGCACAGATCGCGCTGATCTGATTTTTTTTGGAAGGTTGGAAATAGAGATGAACACCGGGATCGGGTCAGCAAGATCCCGATCGATTGTTTGATATCATGTGTGCGGCTCGCGATCTCGCGTCTAAACGCGTCCCAAAATAAATCTCAAGTCTCGACTGATTGTTTTTCAAGTGTCACGTAAAATGCTGGTCACATTTTCGCCACAGAGAAATCCCATTCACCACGCGCTCGGGCCGAGAAAAAGACATAATTGGCCTTATTTAAGTCAGGAATTTGATTAAGTGTTTTATCAAACTTAGACTGTCTAGAATCACACGAACGCGATTTATAGTCGATTTTCGTCCGCAGGGTTGGCGCGCAAATTTGCATCGGGTTTGCGATCAAAACATTATTAGCTTTATCCATAGAATGAGTGGGCGGAGGTATTGTTTTAGAACAAAGCATAGACAACTCTCTCATTTTTCTTTGGTGTACGACAAATCTACGAAGTTTCAGGTCCCTTTGTAAATATCTCTCTGCGTGAAAATGTGAAAATACTTTGTACTCCTATTGTTTCTACCTTTGCCTTGTATGCATTGTGCCATAGGAAACCCCTAAGATTCTGTCAACACCCGATGATTGGCACTTAGTATTGCCCACTGCAATCAGATTATTGGCTGGCCTCGTTGATGTATATTTACATTGCGTCTTGAAATTTCTCCCTATTAAATCGCACTATTGTACAATCCGCAGGTTGTGAAAACTACTCAATAATGAATTGTAATTTAGTTAGAACAGTGGCTACTTTCTCAGGGTTTTGAAAAACTCTTCGTCTTATCACTTCATTTATAATTAATTTTTAGTAAAATGTTTGTTTCTGTATAATTTTTTTTCCTTTTCAAAGTTTGTTTTCTGTACTTTGGCATCTCTAAAGCAGTCTAAAGTGCTTGCTGTCTTCTTAGTTAAAAGAATTCTTTTGCAAGCGTATGGGCAACATTCAAAAAATGAAGGCCGCACTTTGAACTACCTCATTAAACTCATGTGTTCAGAGAAAATGAAGTTTTGTAGAATTTCAGTTTCACCATTACCCTAGAAGGTTTGTACTCGATCCCGTAATGTTTTCATCGGATGTTCACACACACTTTTCTGTAATATTTATAGCAGTTTTCTACCGCAGACCCAAGAAGAATTTTTGCTAATTGAACCACACTTATTTCCATAATTTTTAGACATGCTGTCTATTGAAATATTTTCTTAGGTTTTTCTGTCTAAGGGACATAGCTGTGATAACAATCATGTCACATGCAAACAAGTGTTTTATTTCATGTCCGTCAGCATCTATTACAAAACAAGTTGAAAGGGTAATTAAAACTCTAAAAGTAATAATTGATTTCTTTCTCCAGGCTCATTAATTTGCTTGTGTTAAAACTTTCCTAATTTCGTATTCATCTATCATTCCATCATTGTCTTTGTCTAGCTAAGAATTGTGGGTTTCATCTGCTTTGTGATAACAACTGGATTGCTTTTGCCAGTCCTATTTGAATTTTTTCCAGTGATCACTTTGCAGAAAAGAAACATACTCCACTGTGATTATTTTAAAACAGTGCAAAGACTATCAATGACAGACAAAATAACAGACTGCAAAATATTAACCACAGACTTGAGTTTTAAAATTTCTAAGCCACACAATGAAAAGCTTGATATTAGATGTAGATAGTTGTGGATCATATTGTTGTTCTAACAGTAATTTTAGTAATTAAATTTTCAGTAATTTTAAATCTTATCTAATATTTAGGCTAATTGTTCTGAGTAGTTTAGCGTTTGGCTTTTAAAATTAACTGTAGTCAAACTACAAATTGTTTGACAAAGTAAATTCCTCAAATTTAATTTGATATACACCAGTATTGGAACTATTTTAAAGTTGCACAAAAATAATTCTGATGATTAAGTCCTGTGTCTAAAGTCACTTTAAACAGTTTTTCCTTTGAGTAGTGTTTGAAATGGTGTCATTACATTCCTGGAGTGCTTCATCATCAAAAAGAACTTGAAAACCCATCTCTGTTTGTTTGTTTTGTTTTCAATTTTAAATTATTGCTAAAAGAACCCTTTATATTTTTTCTCCTCTTTGTATACTGTATTGCAGTTTGACAGCTTTATAGAGAAGACGCTTAAACGCACAGGAGAGCAATGGTGTCTTGTGACAGATGGACAGTTGGCTCTAAGACACAATCTTCACTGGGAAGCCAGTAGAAAGAAAGCCAAGTTGTCTGAACATTTCTACAGCTTTTATGACCTCAAGAAGGAGGTAAAGAAAGCAGTTAAGCACGATTCAGACTTCAAAAACCTGGAAGATGTGGCTTCTTGTATCCTTTCGCCCTCCTGTGAAATAAATTGAATAGAGGTTGAGTATTTGCTGCTCAGTCATGCTCAATTTTAGCCATTATAATTAAAATGGATCCCAACATCTGGATTTTTATTACAGTCAACTCTAACTAAGATGGAGCGGCACTAATTGTCCATTTAATAGTGATGTCTCTCTTATAGAGTCAACTAAAGGAAGTAACTAATGCAGGGACTAATTTGTGTTGTCCATTTACCAAGGTGTCCATTAAAAGAGATCTAGAGTTGATGGTATGTTTTTTTATGTTTTTTTTTGTAAAGAGATGTTTATAACTTTTTCCTTAATGAGGTAATAGACTGCCAAATCGATACAAACAATAACAACCCAGCTGGTCTGGAGCATTGTAAACTTATGGCAAATGTAGTGCAGTACCTGATTAATGAAGGTAGGCTGTTAAATAAATTCTCACTGGTAACACCCCACTGGTAACAATAGCAAAGGGTAAAACCACCTTTAGCCTGTGCACAGCTGCCCACTTTCCTAAACATCAGAAGAGACGTATTTTGTTTGAGGGGGAGGAGGTGGCCGACAAAGGCTAAACCAACTTATACCACACTGAATCCGTTGACCTTAATTTCATCTGTGTCACAAAGTGTTGTAAAGATTCATCTTTGAACAATGGAAAACTAGACTTGGTCCCTCTCGTTATATTCAGTCTTTTTCATTAATTTTGGAGATTTCCTCTCATATACAAAGTAGCTTTGCTTTTCCATTGTGTTGGTAGAACATTGTAGATTTGTATGCTAGAAAAGGATCCTTTCTGCATTGGCTTGGCCCAGAAACACATGTAGGTAGTGGAAGAAGCCTCAATCGGAAAAACATTTGCATTTACAGGATATTTCTGCATGCATGTGATCAAAGGCACCATTTTGAGGCTTGGAGTGACAAAATATAGTGATTTCAAAAAAATTGTCTACTCCAGCCTAGATCTTGTTTCATTGAATGTGCTCACTTAAGCAAAATATAGAAAAGGTCTTTGACTGTATCAAGACCATGTAAATAATCATTTTGTTTTCCTGGGGATACTTTCCATTTCCTTCCTTCTTATGACCCCATAGTGTGGTTGATCATTATATTTTGTAATATTGCAAGGTTAGGAAGGAAATTGATGGGGTCTTAAGGAATTAATCAAGTGGAACAAAGTGGGAAATGAAAGACCTCTTTTCCTCTCACATTTTTATATTGGCTTAGTGTCAAACATTAGTTGACCCGGTTAGAAAATTTGTGAAATAGCCTCTTAAATAAGAGATAACAAAGGCAATTTTGTGCCAAGTCTAAAAAGCTGATGGCAGTAGTGCTAAGTGAGAGATACAAAAATTGTGTGCAGCATGAAATGTGTCACACTTAGTTATGAAAACCTTATTGCTACACCATAGGTGAAAGGATAAACTCTCTAATAAACCATGCTTGCATTACTGTCTAAAACTGCCTGAAAGAAGTTGATGGCATAAATTTTTTTTTCCATTGACTTGCACCAAGGGAGAATCTTATTATGGCGTTGGCTAGGATATGTGTATTTCATTAAAGTTATTTTTAGAGGTTGTAATTTAACAGAAGTCTAATTCCTGGGACATATGCAAATTTTAGTTGATTGTTTGAAACAACATCAATTCTACACGCGACTGCCTCAATCAGCAAAAAATGCAGAATATTAACATGGCGGAAAATTCAAGCATTCAATTGGTCTAAACATAAATTTGGTGAAATTCCCATATCCCAAGGGGGTCATGCAGCAGCTGCTCAGAAGAGATGTCACCAGTGGTGTCTAACCCTGACCCCAGACAATACTGAAACAATTGAAAGAATGACATGTCATTGTTTTCTGCGACCAATTAGGAGAGACCTTACGAGCACCTCCTTAACACAACTGTCCCAAGGGCTTGACTGGGCATTTCCCTTTCTGTACCATTATCCTGTCTTGGTTGCACTTAGGTGTGTATGTGTGTTTTTTGTTTTGTGTAGGTCACAAGTTTAAGGAAGCAGAAAAGATCAATGCAAAGTACGAGCCTGGACCATGGTATGGCGCTTCTTTACGAACAAAAAAGTTGGTACCCAAATGTCACAATTATTTCATAGGTACTGATATTTACGCATGAAATGCTATGAAGTAAAAGGATGTTTGTTTACCATTCCAAAGTCATTTCACAAGAAAATATCAGTACCAATGAATATATTAAAAAAACCTGCCTATTTGTGACAATTAATTATTAATAAGTTGGCAATATTTTTATCAGAATAATCATGTTAAAAATATTGCCAACTCGAATGTAATTCGTACTGGTGATGACCCATGGCCTAAAATTTCAACACAGATGCTTCCTCTGATAAGGACAGTTAACTCTTAAGTTCTTAACAATAATCAATAGCTATTTAACAATAACCTTTAAGTCTTTTTATTTAGGTTAACTCTTTAGCAAACGTTGTTTCTATCTTTTGTTTTAATTGGAAGGGGTGGAGGCTTGTAAAGAATTCCTTGTTGAATTTAATAATAATTATTGATCTTAAGTTTGTGCTTTATTGAAAAATGGCCATTTTTGTTAATCCCCAAGCAATTTAAGCCCTTGTAGTGGTTACTTTGACAAGAAAGAGCTTTGTACAGAAAAATGCCTGAAACACCAGTGACAAATGTTGATAATAACGTTATTGTGAGTTGTCATGAAGTGTTCTCAAACTCATTAATAATTCATTAAGAAAATACAAAGGAAATTAATGATTAATGAGTGTTTGGAAATCGGATGAAACACTGCTTAGTATTTGCATCCTTAATTTCTCCTTCAAAAATGATTTTGTTTGAGAAGAAATATCAAACATTCGACACAGTGTTTCATCACCAGATGAAACACCTCGAAGTTCATCAAAAATACTCCGCTGCGCGTCGTATTTTCAACTCTCTTCTCGGTGTTTCATCTGGTGATGAAACACTGCATCTCATGTTTGATATATTACTTCAATAACCTAATGCATTGATTGCCATCCACATGTACAACAATGTCACCTGCTTTAACAATGAATCATTTTCTTTGCCAAGAATTCCTCAAAGTTTAAGTACTATTAATCTCGATTTTTTTTTGTTAATCCTCCTTGGAAGACTGAATCATGTTCTTGATAAGTTTGGAGGTGAAAAATTCTAACGTGAAAAGTTAAAAAAAAAAAAAATTGTAAGTTACATGCTCTATAAACTATTGCTCTTTCATGTTGCTTGAGATTGTTATTTTAAGTTAAATGTTTCATTATTCATTAGATTATAAAAAGAATATAATAAATTATTTAAAAGAAATCCTTCCTGTTACAGCCTCGGGGTGGTCCTTGATGATACTATTTTAAGAGCAAGAGGACTTCCTTGGCAAGCTTCAGATCAAGATGTTGCAAACTTCTTCAAGGGACTCAACATCGTAAGGTACACTATGTATTGTCAACTAGCAGCCAACAGATTGTATCAGTTATGAATAATAATTTAACATTTTTATTTATCTTTTCTGAAAAATATTTTTTATCTCATAAATACCGTAAAATTCCGAAAATAAGCCCTGGGGCTTATATTTTTCAAAGGCCCTTTTTGAGGGGCGTATTTTTGGTGGGGCTTATATTCGGAGGGGCTTATATACTGAGGGAAATTTGCATTTCAAAATCGATTGGGCTAGCCTTATAGTTGGAAGTAAATTTACCGTTTTTGCTTTGTTTTACTTTGTATTTGAGGGCAATTTTCCAAGTACAAGGGCTTTTATTTGGAGGGGCGAAAAAACAGAGGGTTTTTTGCGTTACCGGTTTGGGGGGCTTATATTATTTTGGAGGGGCTTATACATGGAGGGACTTATTTTTCAGAATATTACGGTAACTGAAATGAGTCATTAGGTGGACCTTTCCAAGTTTTAAATGGATCATACCTGTTGTTCCTACTCAAACAACTTCTTGTGTTGTACCAGTATTAAATTCAGAAGAAACTATACTTTGCTTGTATAACTACGTATTGTTTATTTTTTGCAAAAAAAGTTATGTTTTTTTTTTTTAATATTTTTGTTTGGCAATATACATAAAGTGAAATAATTATAGTTATTAAGCTTACTAATAATTCGTTTAAGCTTCTTGTTTTGATAGAAAATATTTGAGAACAAGCAGTGACAGCATAAATTAATAAATTAAATGTTGCCAGGTGAGTTACATGTTTAAGTATTTTCCTTTTTATTCCAGAGGAGGGATTGCTTTCTGTTTGAATGCCCAAGGCAGAAGAAATGGGGAAGCTTTCATTAGGTTTGAAAAGGGAGAGCATAGAGAATTAGCAATGAAAAGACACAAGCATCATCTTGGAACAAGGTACATTGAGGTACGGAGAGATAAACTTCTTCAGTTTTGTGGTCAGGAATAGACCCAATGCAAAAATGGCTGCTGGGTTAACATTTTTTTGTTTCAATTAAAATTAGCCTTACTAGCTGTTTTCTTTAAAGTACAAAATTCAAGAGAATACCTTATCTCAAGACAGGCTAGTCAGGCTAATTTTAATTTAAACACAAGAAAATTAATCCAGCAGCCATTTTTGGATTGAGTCCGTTAAACCCAATGTTTATCTGCTGAACAAACCAAATTTCATTTGTGGGAAAATGCATGCAAGGCAAGAGAGATCAACTTCTTCAGTTTTGTGATTGTGAATCAAACCCACTGTTCATCCGTTGAACACACCAATTTTTGGTTCATGGCAATAAGAATGCTGGCAAGTCACCCGTAGCCTGCCAAGGCAGGAGTAATTTTTGCTTTAGTGCATCAGAAACAAAAAGTAATCTGGAAATACATTTTACATTGGACCTGAACCCTGATTAATTTTGTTAAGTGAGAAAATTTTAAGCCAACCACAATACACCTAGCAAAACAAAAACAAAGTACATTACAGAATTACATTGGACTCTATACTGGACTTGTCTGTCGTAGTTTTTATTCCCCTAGCATGCACCCAACTTGTGAAAACATCACCTCATTTCATACCAAACTGGTCATCACTATATATGTTAGTGTGAGTCAGTTATATATATAATTATTTGTTTGTTCTTGTGATGTTATTTTTTGATGGCCAGTTTGGTATGAAATGAGGTGATGTCTCCACATGTCATGTGCATGCTAGATGAAAATACAAGTGCGGGCATATTTTTCAGGAAAAGAAGTGCTTTATAGTACACTGTAACTCTGTATTGAAGGCAATTTGAAAACAGCTAGAGGAAGATTGACTCATCCACTTTGTAAACTGGGCATTCAATTAGATTCACAAGAACTTTGTTGATTCCTAAAAAAACATGGCACAGGCCAGTGTGAACTCTCAGTGCAAATATTCTCCTAACACATTCCCCAGCATTGATGTTGATATTATGCCATATCAAGGCTTCATATGTTTACTAAAAGCCTTATCTGGAACGTCGTGACTTAAATGCAATTCTAAAGCCACACACAGAGTAAGAGAAATTCCACTGAGGCATCAGACTGTTACGTTGACCTTGATGCTGTTATAACCAAGGTGAACAGTATTGTCTCTAAAGACTTCCTGTTGTATTCTTTCTTAATATTATTTTATTGATTCCTAAAATAAAGTATTACTTTATATTTTAGGTGTACAGAGCTACAGCTCAAGACTTTCTAAAGATTGTGAGAGGTATTTATTTCTTCTTGGAATAATTTCCTCTTTTGGCAGTGTACTTATTAATTTTTGTTAAAACATTTTCATCATTCAATATTATTTTTTGGAGGGGAAACGCTGACTACTAACAGCCCTCTCCAATATGGCTTCTCACCTTTTTGTGTAAGATAGCAATTGGGAGATTCATCTGTATTATTTTCATTTCATTTTCATTGGTTACCTGCAAATAGCAAAGGCTAGTCCAGGTGGGCAGTGTCTAAACAAAATTGTCCAAATCTATATTAAAACTATCCAAATAATTTATTATATTAGATATAGAAATAAACATTTTCTGTCCAAAAACAGAGCTCAGAATTTTTTGTATCTTCTCAGCACGGGCACACCTGTTAGTACAATAATTCCACCAAATTTGCTTGTGTTATCTAATTCCTGAATATTATTGTCTCTTGAGGTCCGATTGATGTCACCCAGATTGCTTCCAATTTTGTTTCAAACAAGGCAGAAGTAATAATCAGAATGAGAGGGCTTCCATTCAACACAAAAGAATCAGATGTTGTGAGTGTATTACTTTTGTTAAGTTGCCCAGACATGTTATTTGGCTCAATAGGGGAATGATTAGATTTGATGGAGACCTAATATGGATCAATACTAATCTCATATGGATTTATAATGATGTGGTATGGATTATTGCTGGCATGATGTGGATCAAATTATGTGATGTAGATTGTCAGACTGACATGATGAAATTAAGGGTTACACTGTAAAAGAAAAGTTATGTCGTCGTTACATGCTCACCACACATGTTCCAGCGATAAATGATGAGAATTTGTTTTACAAACAAGATCGATCTTGGCCTTAATGGATTAAAATAGGCAGTGATATTATCAAGGAAAATAAATGGAGAGTCCGGTGGGTTTACCCTTTAAGTCCTGAAAATGACCAAAGAATATCAATTTTCCCCTTTTGATATCATTACATAATCAAGAGGAAATGTGAGAATCAATAAAGTAATCACCTCATGGAAAATGCTTTGATCTTTAAACAAATTCTCTCAACTAATTCATTAAGGAAATATATGGAAACTTGTCTGGAGAATTATTATTTGGATATTGGGGCTTGCAGGGTTAATAGACACATGAAATGGGTTGATAAGTTATCATAAATTGGTTAGTAGACATGATTAAAGCTGATGGACACATGACTGTATTAATTAACGTGTAAAAAAGAGAAATCAAATGCTACACTGTATGGGTTGATGCAGAGGTGATGGAAACTGATAGAGACATACTATGACTTGCTGATCGAAGACGTGACATTATTTTGTGTTGCTAAAACCACATTGTAGGTGAAGAGTCAAGAAGGGTAATTGTAACATTGATGCATGAGGTATCAAAATTCATGTAAAATTCTTAAAACTATTAAGCATCATGAATGATCGCGACACTGGCTGAGAATTGTGTATAAAGACTGAGAAGTTAGAATATTAAAAGTTTAATGTCTCCTGAAATTGATTGTGTGAATGAAAGAGTCAATATGCTTACTATATAAGTATGGTTCATTCTTCACTTTTTTTTCTTTGTAGATTAAGTTCTTTGAAGACGATGTACCAGTGTTTAAGGGAGAATCTGGAATCCTAATGGTTAGAAACAGCTTTGGAAAGCCAACAGGAGATGCCTTTGTTCTTTTTGAAACAGAAGAGCATGGGTGTGCTGCACTAAGAAAGCACAGGTGTTCATTGGGTTCTCGGTATGCGGAGCTGTTCCGTAGCTCCCAAAGTGAGGTTCAGCAAGTTCTCAACTCATACAGCAACTTTATGCACAACTTTCTTCCACCATTTATGCTTCCACCTCTTCCACCGCACCTTCCATTTCCTCCTCCCTTTTTGCCGCCTGGGCAATCCATTAATGGCATGAACAGTAAGGACTGTTTGCGTCTACGGGGTCTACCATTCTCAGCAACTGTCCAAGATGTACTAGACTTTCTTGGGGACCATGCAGCATTTGTTGTTCCTGGTGGAGTTCACATGGTGTTTAACACACAGGTAAATTATTAATGTTATTGTCAGTGATCACATCTTGTTATGGTAACAACACTTCTCAAACTCAACAGTAAATTATAGCAGGCAACTCATGAGTCTTCATAATAGTATATTTTTATGGGTAGCATTACCATTCTTTCAAAATAATTATTGATTGCATTATCATTGTGCCGTAGGTTAAAATGAATGAATAGCCAATGAATCTTACACTTGTCTTATCATGCAAGCCTAAAATTAATAAATAATTAGAATTTTTTTGTTTCATAGGGTCGACCATCTGGAGATGCTTATGTTCAGTTAGTGTCTGCAGAGTGTGCAAAAACAGCCACTGGTGATTTGCACAGACAGCACATGGGAGAAAGATACATTGAAGTATTTCCTTGCTCCGGAGTTGACATTGCTTCTATCATCACCAGCAGTACAATCAATCAAACTAAGTTACCGTCACTCAACTCCACACCATTTAGCCATCCGTGTACATTTCCTGTGACTGATGGGGTGGTTACACACACAGGGACACACATGAATGGACACACGGACAGTATAACACCTCCACCTTGTCGCAGCCCTACAGGAGTGTATGTGGCCAACTCGCCACCACCAACATACTTCAACTGTGTTATGCCAACAAATGGCATTGGAGGAGGAAACTTGAATAATTTTTATTACCCACCAGCCACTGCAAATGTCCGAATGAGAGTGTCACCATACTTAGCACAACCATATGAATTTATACCCTTCTTTCAAGGATACCAGGTAAAAGTCTGATGTAAACATGCAATTACTTTGTTACAGGAACCCTTTTACCACTAACAGTGCCAAAACTAAAAGTTGTGGATTTGTCTTTGTAAGATGTTATATTAAAATGAGTAGTACTGTTTAAAAGTACTCCTGAAGAGGTTTCATTTGTATGGTCACACCACAAGATTTTGTCCACCGATTCAAAAATTAGAACTACATGCTTAACAAAAAACACCATCTGAAAGTACTCCTGAAGAGTTCTTAAATGAATAAAAACACCATCGGATTTTATCCCAGTCCGCTTCAAAAGTTTAAAGTACAGAACTAAAGAATGAAAGTATTATTAAAAGTCAGTCTACATACTGAAAGGCTTCAACAACATCACATGTTTTTATAAATGATTGTGGAAGTAAGAGGGTCAAAGTGGCAATGTCAGTATGAGCTGCCAAATGTAAAAATATTATTTTAGGCAATATTTTTGTATATTTTTGGCTTTTTAACAAATAGCACAAGAGTTATCTTATGGTTATGTAAATAATACTTTCAACGACATCTGCAATATTAATTTTATAAATCACTGATACCCAGCCTCATGATCTATAAACCTTCTAGCCTTTTTGCTGCTTTTCTCTTTGTAAATTAACAAATACCTATATAGCTTTGCGATCTATAAATCGCAAGATGCCAAACTCCATATTTTGAGACTTATAAGTCGCAAAATATGTGCCATTTACAAATCAAGTTGTGCATTCGTACAGTTATGTCTAATAAGAAGTTTTGCTTTTTTTTCTTGCAGATTGCGGACTATGGGAGGTAGTTAAAATAAACATATGGTCAGAGATCTTGAAAACTCTCATCATACCTGACAGGCACTCTCCTAGAGTTTACCTCCTGCTACATAAGTTGTGTGACAACACTTCACTCTGTACCTTCAACTGTTCTGTGTCAAGGATTTATGTCAAAGAGCCAAGAATACAACTTACAGTCTTCTATAGACAGGTGAACAAACTATCATTCTTTCAAAATAAATGGACAGATTCTTATCTCAAAGGTCTGGAAAGGATGTCTTCAAATAAATGGCAAATAAATAACAGAATTATGAAATGGTAAAATGCTAAGAGAATGAAATTTTCAGAATCAAAAGTTTTTGGCCAGATTAGATGGCAAGTTACCATCTTAATTTCCATTTACTGAGAAAGCTACAGAGACAAAACTCAGGAAAGTTATCAATTTCTGGTAATTAATTCAGCATAACCTCAGAAATAGAAAAGATAAATCCAAGTTCTAAATATGGAAAAATATATATAAATTGCAAATGAAGCAAACAAATTGTACATATTAACATAATGAAGAGAAAGTAATCGAAAATGCAGAAAGCTAAATCTATGAAAATAGCTTTTTAGCTCACTAAGTTCGGACTCTAGAGGACTGAAGATTTAGTTCAGTGAGAAATACTGATCATTTATTTTAAACATTTTAGCAAATGCGTGTGTTGTGTTTGTATTAGGAGCATTAGTAGGGCTTATATTTAGAAAACAACACAGCATCATTTTAGGAAAAATGCTGACAGAAAACAGGCATTAATAATTGAATTATCAGAATGATATTAATAGTTAAGATGAATTGTATGAAATGTGTCTAATACGGAATTTATTTATTTGAAACTGGACCCAGGTGTTCAGTTAAACAGAAAACATTTTTTGCCCCCATGATTGAAAAAAAAAAACCAAAACACACTTCATAGGCAAGCATTATCTTCTCCCTACTTATCCACTGTTAAAGACCTTGAAGTCATCAAGAGGACTTATTTGTAGAGTTCTATGCATCTGGGGCTCAAAATGTTTGTCTGACCATCAGTGAGAAATTAAATAAAATAGTGCATATTATGTGCAAATTAACTATAGGTATAGGCTTTGTTCACTCAATACCGGGTAGCTTGCTCATGGCAACACCTATCCAAAATGTGACTCCCCGCTTTAGAGATTGGTGTAGCACAGTTTTGTTCCATCACAGAAATTTTGCCGTCATAACCAATTTTGTGTTTGAACAGAAACCCTATCCGGTATGATTTTCGTGGCAGCACAAAAACTATCCGGTATAGTGTTAACATAGCCTCCCCGCAGACATCCTTTGGGGTTCGTTCATCACGCATTTTAAAGGACGTCTGCGAGGAGGCTAGTGTGAACATAACCTTAGTGTAAGTATCAATTATTTTATGTTTGATAGAAAATAAGATCCAACATCGACCTTAGTTTTTCTAGGATTATTTATGTCTAGTAGGATTTTGCTACAGCAACCAAAGTAATAGTTTTTCTCCGGGATAAATCATAATCTTTCTGTGCTATTGAAAGTGTTAAAACATTTTCAGTTTGCTCATGTTGCATGAGCTTTTTACTTGACTTTTAGTGTAATCTGACTAAATTTAGGTGATGGTTGCTTGTATCATACTCTGCTGTCATCAATGTACAGTGCATTTAAATATTGTTAGAACTTTATCCAGTGAGCTCTGAAAGCAGAATGGGCCTACTTCATTATTTTATTCAGTTGTCGAGAAAATCCTGATCCCCTCACTGTGGACTTCAAACTAATAAAAAAAATGAAGGCTGTGAAAACCAATTTTTCATGGCTTGTACTATTTTGAGATAACAAATTATTGTTGCTTCATAGCTTACTGAGCAGTTAAAATGTGTTCGTCCTCATTATATATTGAAGTTACAAATATTGATTTATGAAACACAAACCTAAGTATTTTGAAAATGTGGCATCATGTGCTGCCATCCTTTTATGTTAAACTGCTAAAAAAGTAATAAATTATTTTAGGATGGACCAACAAATATCGGGTAAAACATCCATATGCTAAATACAATTTTAAATCATTTTATTTGTGTCTAAACGTTACATGTATTTATTGGCAAGTCCTTAACTGGCCATACCATTTTTTTATGTAGATATGACTACTAATATTGAAATCATGTTTAACAAATAACTATTTTTTCCAGTCAGGGTAAATGACTAGCCCAGCATGTCAGTAAATGTCATTCTTACCAGTCTACATTAAATCAGTTTCTATAAACTCCAAATTCTGTCAAAAATGTCATACATGACTTTGCGCTAACCAGCCAAAAAATCTAAATTATACCAAGCATTTTAAAAAATCCCAGACGAGTGTGATTTACACAAACCTGATTACTACTTTTATCATTATCATAACACATTTTTCCTGAAAGTTCAGTAAATTAATAATTACAGGAATGTCTTCTCAAGTTGCTCAACCTATTTTTGTGTTCTTGTGTGCAACACAAAATTTATAATATTATTGATACCTTACAAATCAAAGGATGATATAAATTATCCAAAATTTCTGGACTAACCCCTCGACCTCTACCCCTGCAGAAATGAGGGTTGGAGAACTGTTGTATTTTCGGTATTGTACACAGTACTGTTCAAAAGAAAGTTTAAAAAGTTTACCAAGTTTAATACATACAAGTTTCTTTGAGGCCAAAATAGCATCTTTGTCACTGGCAGTGCCATTAGCAGAGTGCTTAATTCATTTACGAAGTAACTGTATGTGACAAATAATTATTAATAATATGTACTGTAATAAGTCATTTACAGTATTTATATTTTAGATCATCAGATAATTATTTTAGCTATATTTTTAAAGTGAACTAAATTGAGTACTATTCCCTTGTAAAATAGAACCAGACTTGTGACATTTTTTCTCAAAGTTCAATTGTGTACAGTCGTAGACACATCTTTCTCATTTCTTTGATAAAGATCTAGCTCTTTACACTGAACTTACCTAACAATAACTGATCTTTCTTGGAAATAAAAGGAACAAAATGGCTGAAAAGTCAAGTGTTTGGGATTGTGTTGTGTATCATAAGTTGCTGGCAGCTGTACAATTCATTTGATGGACTTTGTTTTGAGTGCACAATTGCTTGCATAACTGCCATCTTGATGTTGAATCAAGTCAAGGAGATGGGGTGAGAAAAGGAGTACCCAGCTAACACCTATCCCATGCCCCAGGGTTGGTACTTGCACTCTCCCTTCGGCCTTTTCCCCTTCCACAGTATACAGAAATATACCTACATTGCAGGCAGTTTTCTTGACATGTCTTTGCTCTGTGTGTGTTCAGTTGTAAAGGGAGGACTCTAAGTACCCCTCCTTCTCCCCCTGTTCTTATGGGGCTATCTTGCCAACTAAGGATTTCCTACTTTGTTCCTGCAAGTCATTTTCTTTTGGCCTTACAGTAAAACCTTTATTGACCAAGCTCTTTTGGTCAAGATGGCTGGATATTAGCTTCATTCTTTTTGTGTGAGATAGTGTTTGTTTTATGAACCTCTTCTTCATCTCAGTCCATAAAAATGGAGAATTAACTATGAACTTGGCCAAATATCCAACCATCTTGACCTCAAACTTGGTCAATGACAGATATGTTGATTAACAGCGATTTGCCAAAGTAATTGAGTACCAAATGATGCGAACTTCTTAAGTCATAAGTCACAAATTATTTTTCCACTTACAAATTTAAAGCAAATTCTTTAGCACAAACTGAATCTGCAAAGTGGATAACTAATTTAGTTTTATTATACATGACATCAGTTAACTTACCGGTTCAGTCTGCTTTTACCTCCAGCAATGGAGGTAGAGTTTCTCCAGCTGGTCCATGGAAGTGAAACCTAACAAAACAAATATTGAGTAGGACTGGTCACTGTATGGCCCAAAGCTGGGACCTCTGGATTGTGAGTCTAATGCAGTGAGCAAGTTCACTTGTTTGAGTGTAATCAGCAGGCTGATACTCATGAGAGTTAAGTGTGAGAAGCTTAGCTAACATTACCTGCTGACTCAAGAATAAGGAGATCATCTTGAGCAGAGTGGATGTTTCTTGAGTGTTGTGGAAGCTATTGTTGGTTCACTTTTGTTTTGTGGGGTGGGTTAACTTTGTTCAGTGTCTTTCCAATCTTTTGTAATACATCATTGGTGATCGCACCCGTCTGCAACACGAAGAAACTACCAGCAGAGTTTTGCCCCAGGTTTTTTTGAGATTGCATTTTTGTCGTCAAGCTCAACCTCTGCACTTGAAGCCAATGTGAAAATCTGGCACAAAACCCCGACAAGAGAGCCTGTTTGCAGGCTTCTAATATGGGGTGCTTTCTAATATGGGGAGAATCAAGGTACCTAAAAACTCCTGTGCATGGAGTCTCTTCCATGTTAAACTCAGCAACTGGAACCCCTTTAGTAGCTAACATTGGAGCAAATCCAGCCGCAGGGTAAACCACAGATGATGTGCCAACCTAAAAGATTATAACAACACCTTAATTCACTTAGTCACCCAAAAAAGAAAACAATAGAGTAGAAATGTTATCCTAGTATCAAGGGCTAGTAAACCTATGCTGGGTTACATTTTGGGGTGGGGCCGCAAGCAAACTAATTCCAAGGGGCCTCCTCCACCCCTTTTAATAATTATAGCCCTAAAAAAAAAACAGAAGATGGGACTAACATGTGGTGCAGACAGACAGTGTATACAGTATGTTGTGGTTCAATTTTATCCTTGGTTTAAATCTTATTTCCCTTTGTTTTAAACTCATCATCATACATTACCATACCCCAAAACAACAGGAGATAAAATTTGGACCAACGATAAAATTGAACTACGACATATATGTTCAAAAGAAAGGTGATAAATTCCATTTCCTCTTAATGGACACCCAGAGTTGGTTGCGCAGTGCCCTTCTTTACTCCTTTTAGTTAATTCTACATACAAGACAGGAATTGTCATAAAAGATATTAATCATCGTGGATAATGTGTATAAAGGGTTTAGTTTTATCGCTTGTCTCACCATTGTCACTTTGATATTGATTGTGACGTTTTGACCGCACACTGCAGGTCTTCATCCTCGACACTATCGCCTAATGAAGACCTGCAGAGGGGGCTGGAAAGGTCGCAATCAATATCAAAGTGACAATCGTGAGATAAACAATAAAACTAAACCCTTCATAAGACAGGAATTCCTAACAGACACATAGTTTGGTCCCAGAGGTGTTCATCTTATTAGTCAAGAGAGAGTTGACTGTAAATAAAATATAACCTCACCAAAAGACACATATCACATTTGTCCAAGGCTTGATCAACTGCATTTAATACACCACGATCAAGGCCCTCTCCAAACCACACCACATGGGGACGAACTAATGCCCTACAGTTGGGTTGATCACATCTGCAGGTAAACCAAAAATATGATTTCTGATTTTCATACTCTTGTTACCCTTCAGGGCTGATTAATTTAATGCTACATCCAAACAATATTTTGATGAAATGAAACAGAGATGTATGCATGGTGAAATTCTCTGTCAATTCAATTTTTTGAAGACTTGAAATGACTATTGTGCTCTATGCCTTCAGCTTCACTCCCAACTCAAAACTTATTTTAAACCCTCAAAAAGGGTTTGTAACTAATCTGGTGGATCATTTGAACAGTTTTTTATACCTGGGCAAGTCTTCCTCTGGGATTTTGGCATCTTGAGCATCAGGATCTGGGGCTCTGGATTTAACAAAAACAAAAAAATTAATTAAAAAAGTGGAAATAAAATGATATAATTATTATGTTACAGGTCAAAATTGACGTCAGGGTTATTTTGATTTCCCAGTTTTCTTTGTCTTCTAAAACTATTGTGTGTTATTCATGATCATCATGAATAATATTAGGGTTAGGAAACTGAAAATCAATCTAGGTTGAAACCATTATGTCCTGAATTTCATTTTACACTGCAATATTAAATATAGGCATCTTACCCCTTTCCCTCTAAGGCTGGAACTATTGGGCTCCTCCGGTTTTCTGTTACATGACCACAAGAGGTGCATCTGGTCTTGAACAGGGTACCTACATGTAGGTCAGATAAAAAAAGATAAATATCTCATGAAGGTTATTTACTTTCTATTGGGTAATATAATTTTTATATTGCTTTTCTCATGAAGTATGCCACTAAATACTGCACCTGTTAATTTCATGTGAGGGATGAAAAAATCATACTGAATTTATGTGTATCACTCATCCAAAACTAGCAATGTTGGCCTATGTGATGATTTATCTCTCCTCATTGAGGGGTCTAGACATACCACAAGAAATCAAGGCTAGGCTTTAAATTTCCCACCCCTTACTATGCATTGGAGTCGTGTTCCCCACCCCCTGGGATACTATCACATTCTATTCCCCCGGCCAGGCAAGGAAAACATGTCAAATGGCAGGGGTATGCCTAGGGGGTATGTTGAAACTGTGATTAGAGCGATACATTATCATGACATGCATTAATGCATGTCATGATATTACTTCTTGATGTATGAGACAAGGGATTAAGTACTCTAACCATGAAGCTCTAAAACATCTTTAGCGCCTGCTGCTTGATGCAATTCATCAATATTCTGAGTGATAACAGTCACACTCCTTCCTTCTCCTTTAAGGCTCCTCTGAAATTCAGCAATGGCATAATGGGCTTTGTTTGGCTGTTTTGTCAAAACAACTTCACGCCTGTAACTGTAAAACTCCCAAACTAACGAGGGATTTCTTGCAAACGATTCTGGCGTCGCTAGGTCCTGAGCTCTGAAAGTCCTCCACAAGCCGCCAGAACCGCGAAAAGTGGGGATGCCACTTTCAGCACTACAACCAGCTCCAGTCAGGACAACTACATTTTGTGCTTTATGGAGTAGATCTTTGAATTCTGCTTTATCCGAGCTAGTGGTATGGAAAGAGCTCTCAGCCATCATATCACGACACCGGTTAACAACCTTCGTCCACAACACCACTTTCGAATTAATCTTCCGCAATCCAATCATCTGATAACACTGACACAGCTAAACAGTTTTTTTGCCAGGCGTTTCAGCAGAAATTCAGCTGTCATTATGAGAATCACTGGCACTACTATTTCCAGTCTCACTCTTTTACAGCGCTTTGGATTCAAAATGGCGGGACACTTTTCAGGTAGACAAGTTTAATATATTTTTGAAGAAAAAACAGTCGCTACAGTTCTTGGAAACTTCCAGTTACTGCGTAGTATTTACTTATATATCGTGAAGCTTAAGTTATTTAGATATCGCCCTCATACTATATCCCTCGGCCCACACCACACATCTAGTTCTTTGAAACACGTGTACGTGTTTTTTTCAGCTGTTTTTTCTTGCACACTACAGCTGACATGTACTTGCAGTAGAATGTGTTGGACAGGAAGTGCAGTTGCTTTTCTAGTTCTTGGTTTCATTGTTTCACATTCTGTCCTTGTGTGACTGTGTGATATGAAACCCAGAAAATTCAAAACTGCCAAAGCGATAAAAAGTGTTTAACTTTTCTTATAATAAATTGTTAGAGTTTGGCTTGCTTCCTGAGATTTGCAAAGCAGTGGAAGACATGGATTGGCTGTAAGTATTCTTGACTGATAGATTATCTATTAAACTGAATGAATTTAGATGTTAACCTTTGCAGATCTGACATCGGCCCCAGTTGTTCAAGAGGTGGATGGCACTATCCACTGGATAAATCGCTCTACAGTAGATAGTGCAATACTATTGGTTTCTCCAATACTTATCCACTAGACAGTGGTTTATCAGAAGAATAGTGCTATCCAACGTTTGAACAACCAGGGCCTGGAGATTATCTCTCTCAGGCTACCCAGTGACCTGGGGGGAATCCCCTTATAAAAGTGCTAGGGGTGGTTGTTGTCTCGCTTAGGGGCCTAAATTGCAAATTTTGGTCTCATTTAGGGTGTTTGGGAGGGAAAGACATTTGATTTAGCCATTCTGGTATCACTGGGGGCTCTGCTTAAAGAAATTTACAAAAAATTGCGTGGTGTCTGTTTTCATCTGGTCTCTTTTAGGGGTCAGTTTAAGCTTGAGCCGAGCCACACCCACATTGGTCTCCCTTAGGGATTTAATTTGAATTTTCTGACAAGCGTCCCCATCAGTTTTATATGGCCTTCCTACCTCGGGCCAAGTGGTACTGTATAGAACAACAACGAAACTCTGTTTTATGAAAGTCAATCAAAAATTTCAGATATTTGAGCTGCGGGAGACTTAAATTTTTTAATAATATTATTATTGATTTGTTCTTTTCAGTCTACCGACTGATGTTCAAGCTGAAGCCATTCCTCTGATCCTTGGAGGTGGAGATGTGCTTATGGTTAGAACACATTTATTTCACAGTCCAATCATCAGTTCATTTTTGCAGACCAAACACCAAAGTAAATTTTTAATGTTATGCTGATCTGCACTTTCTACACAGGCTGCTGAGACTGGAAGTGGAAAGACTGGGGTATGAAATAAGTTTTCTTTAAGTGATTTTGTAACAAATAGTCATGGTGAGTCGTGGAACTCATCTTGTGAAAAATCATGAGTCCCTGTCCATAATCAATGAGTCCCAGTTAAAGAAACAAGGAGTCTTAAATTGAAAATGTTTGGGCCTTTATGTAACTAGACAGTTAATCTGGAGACAGATGCCAAAACTCTTTAGTTTACTGAAATTAAAATATAGTCCTGTATAAAATAAATTATATTTAAAGCACAAAAAAGGCTAAAATAAATATACATTAGAAATCACTCATACAGGATATTCCACCAAACCATCTTCAAATCGATCAATTGTTCATTTCATCCCATGGGTTGCATTTCATCAATTATTTTGCGACTTTGGGTATTTTTATGCTTCAGGGATAGAGGACGCATAGGCAACAAGATCACTCCTTTAGTGACTACAACACCACTACCCGGTTAAGCTCAGTTGGGAGAGCACAAGTCTGTGGAGCAGGAGGTCACAGGTGTTTTTTTTTTTTTTTCAGTTATTCAATATTTGAAAGCCATGCACTTGACTTTTCAGGACTAAAATATCCAAATAATATGGTTTCATAGGTAAAATAACCAGAAATCTGCTTTATCCGAGCTAGTGGTATGGAAAGAGCTCTCAGCCATCATATCACGACACCGGTTAACAACCTTCGTCCACAACACCACTTTCGAATTAATCTTCCGCAATCCAATCATCTGATAACACTGACAAAGCTAAACAGTTTTTTTGCCAGGCGTTTCAGCAGAAATTCAGCTGTCATTATGAGAATCACTGGCACTACTATTTCCAGTCTCACTCTTTAACAGCGCTCTGGATTCAAAATGGCGGGACACTTTTCAGGTAGACAAGTTTAGTATATTTTTGAAGAAAAAACAGTCGCTACAGTTCTTGGAAACTTCCAATTACTGCGTAGTATTTACTTATATATCGTGAAGCTTAAGTTATTTAGATGTCGCCCTCACACTATATACCTCGGCCCACACCACACATCTAGTTCTTTGAAACACGTGTACTTTTTTTTCTAGCTGTTTTTTCTTGCACACTACAGCTGACATGTACTTGCAGTAGAATGTGTCGGAGAGGAAGTGCAGTTGCTTTTCTAGCTCTTGGTTTCATTGTTTCACATTCTGTCCTTGTGTGACTGTGTGATATGAAACCCAGAAAACTAAAAACTGCCAAAGCGATAAAAAGTGTTTTAACTTTTCTTATAATAAATTGTTAGAGTTTGGCTTGCTTCCTGAGATTTGCAAAGCAGTGGAAGACATGGATTGGCTGTAAGTATTCTTGACTGATAGATTTTCTATTAAACTGAATGAATTTAGATGTTAACCTTTGCAGATCTGACATCGACCCCAGTTGTTCAAGAGGTGGATGGCAGTATCCACCGGATAAATCGCTCTCCATTAGATAGTGCAATACTATTGGTTTCTCCAATACTTATCCACTAGACAGTGGTTTATCTGAGGAATAGTGCTATCCAACGTTTGAACAACCAGGGCCTGGAGATTATCTCTCACAGGCTACCCAGTGACCTGGGGGGAACCCCGTTATTATTAAAAGTGCTAGGGGTACTTGTTGTCTCACTTAGGGGTGTAAATTGCAAATTTTGGTCTCATTTAGGGTGTTTGGGATTGAAAGTCATTTTATTTAGTCATTCTGGTATTGCTGGGGGCTGTGCTTTAAGAAATTTGCAAAAAATTGCATGGTGTCTGTTTTCATATGGTCTCCTTTAGGGGTCAGTTTAAGCTTGAGCCGAGCCACACCCACATTGGTCTCCCTGATGGATTTAATTTGAATTTTCTGACAAACGTTCCCATCAATTTTATATGGGGTTCCTACCTTGGGACCAGTGGTACTGTATAGAACAACAACGAAACTCTGTTTTATGAAAGTCAAAAAAAGATTTCAGATATTTGAGCTGCGGGAGACTTAAATTTTTTAATAATATTATTATTGATTTGTTCTTTTCAGTCTACCTACTGATGTACAAGCTGAAGCCATTCCTTTGATCCTTGGAGGTGGAGATGTGCTTATGGTTAGAACACATTTATTTCACAGTCCAATCATCAGTTCACTTTTGCGGACCAAACACCAGAGTAAACTTTTAATTATGCTGATCTGCACTTTCTACACAGGCTGCTGAGACTGGAAGTGGAAAGACTGGGGTATGAAATAAGTTTTCTTTAACCTTAAGAAGTGATTTTGTAACAAATAGTTTATGGTGAGTCGTGGGGCTTATCTTGTGAAAAATCAGGAGTCCCTGTCCATAACCAATGAGTTCCAGTTTAAAAAAACAAGGGAGTCTTAAATTGAAAATCCTTGGGCCTTTATGTAACTAGACAGTTAATCTGGAGACAGACGCCAAAACTCTTTATTACAGTTTATTGAAATTAAAATGTAGTCCTTCTATAAATTATATTTAAAGCATAAAAAAGACTAAAATAAATATGTATTAGAAATCACTTAAACAGGATATTCCACCAAAACATCTTCAAATCGATCGATTCTTCTTTTCGTCCTATGGGACGCATTTTATCAGTTATTTTGCATCTTTGGTTATTTTTATGCATCAGGGATGCAGGACGCAGAGGCAACAAAATCACTGCTTTGGTGACTACAACACCACTACCCGGTTAAGCTCAGTTGGGAGAGCACCAGTCTGCCGAGCAGGAGGTCATGGGGTTCAAACCTGTCCTGACCAACAACCAGGGTCTTAAGAGAACTGGTGAGATCACAGGGGCACCCAACTTCAATTATTGGAAAATATCTGTTCAAAAGACTATTTGAGATCTAGAATTTTTAGAACATTTTGTTGTAAAATGTCTTGCTTGCCTGCCTCTCTTAGGATTTTCGAACTTCTAAAATATGGTATAATTGCCCATTTTTAACAGATTTTTAGCGTAAAAAGGTCACCTAGAATTTTCGGAAGCCTTTTTTCTGGCTGAAATTTGCGAAAAGGTAAGTTTTGATCCCTATAATTTTCAGATCACTCGACTTTCAGCTAGGAAATCTGAACAGATGTTGGATTCTTAGGGGAAAAAATATGCCTATATCTACCGTTTAAAAACTAAAATATGTTTAACAATGCTATGTTCAAGTGGTTTTGAACTATATTCTCGTCGGGTGCCCCTGAGATCATGGTGGCTTTGAGTTGAGACCTTGTCTCAGTTCAGATGATCATATCATTGGGCAGTGACCTTAATCCATTGGCCTTGTCTCCGTCATCCTTCATTCATTAGTCAAATTCAAGGGGATGTAAAAGAACCCACACTCCTGTTCAAAAAGAGTAGGGGTGCAGTGGTGTGGTCCACCTTACACTCATCATTCATGATCATGGGTTATAGGTGGGTTACAATAAGCTCATAAATGGACTGATAGCGGCTTCCACTGGCACCCTTGTATACTGACATCCAAGCTTACTGTTAACATGTTGATATATAAATTGTAAGGAGGACGCATCTTGTTGTCCTCTAATCCAATTTATTACATTTCTACAACAATTTTGAGTCTTTTTTTTCCTTGGGTTATTCCC